AAGCAGTGGTATCAACGCAGAGTACTGGAAGGAAGCATTGGCGACTGCAATTCCTAAGGCCTAAGGCATACCTCGCGCGATTCGGCTAAATCGCTACGTTCACGCGACCTGACACTTTGCCAGATATCTCCAAATTTATCGTGCACGGTCCTTCAACACATGGACGCGTAGCTTCTGTAACTTGCTGCAAACCGATCAAGTCCTGCCTTAAGAAAGCGCTTTGACGACCACTTATGAACAGTCGTTCCTGTACCAAATCGCGCAGCGACTGGAATCGCGTGAGGTATGCCTTAGGCCTCAGGTTCCTAGTGCTTCCAGTCTCACGGATTTCCGCCCCATCAGTTTGACTCCCACAGCTGTGAAAGTTATGGAGAAAGGACTGCGGGATAAACTACTAGCGTGGCTTGAAAAATCCAAAACTGTCCCCCCTAATCAGCATGGGTTCCTGCCAGGATCTTCCACTGCTACGAACCTTGCCGACTCAGTTTTTGACTGGACTCTGGCGCTGATTAGAGGGGAATCAGTAGATGTTTTTTACGTGGACCTTTCGAAAGCATTCGATCGTGTTGATCATGAAAAGATTTTGTGCAAGCTCGAACGAATTGGGATCAATGGTAATTTATTAAATTGGTTTAAGTCATATCTGAGTAACAGAGGGATGACTGTGAAGGTAGAGCATCAATTTTCGGATAGACATACTTGAATATTTTTCCTTTATCTTGTTGCGCAAGTAGAGACTTCAAAAGAAGCTTTAATGAATTCGATAAAAAGGACATCATAAAACTCACCATAGTTTCTCCTGATCTGTTTTTCTCATAGTTTTTTCTTGAATTACCATAATTTTTGTTCAATGAGCGTTATTGTAATCATTTAGTTTATTCTTTCCTTCAGTACAAAAGTATCGCCAAAACGTATGAGTCATTTTGGCCTAAAATTTACATACTTTGCTTGCAATTCCGTCATTTCAAAACTAAAACCGAGCTCATACCAACCAAAGTTTATTATGAAAACACCTACTTGTATTGCTAGAGTGGTTGCGCCGATGCCCGCTGGACGTGGCCAACCCAATGGATGTGGATCTTCATGCTTCTCGCGGTCGTATCTAAATTTCAAAAATTTAATATATTACAATCAAATGACAACAACTTACCCAACGCGTTCAAGAAACTCATCCAGCATAAGGTTAAATTCCTTCCTGTCCGCTATGGGTATATTCACAATACGTAAAAATTCATTCAATACCTTTGACTGCAAAGACTCTTCGTATTGCTGACGGCGAACCTCCATTGGGACTGAAATAAAAATGGAATTGCTAGAATGTATCACAAAAACCATTAAAATTTTAGTTCGATATTCGAGATCGTTAGAACGAGGAGTACGATAACAGATAAACTAACATGAAGAGACAGACCCATTACGAAGATCCATGTCTGAGCATGTACCAACTATAAAAATAAGACAGATTTCTGAGAAGACAGTGCACATACGAGACGTTTGCCATAATGAAGAAGACAAAATGTCAGCCCAAAAAAATTTTTTAGGCCACAAGAAATCTAAGTTTTTCTGATGTCCTTCAAAACATTGTCCATAGAGCAAGAAAAATTAATTGACATTGGAGCACACTATAATTAGTTTTCCACACAGATTATACATTTGACAATAAATGATTACTCTCCAAAAATCAAGACTTAGAAGTATTACGTTAAACAGAATGATAACATCTGGTTCTAGTTTTGAACAAGATTTGGCTCAATTTTCAGTTATAAGCCCTAATTGATATACACATTTATCACAATGTACTCAACATCTAAACACCTGTTTATTAACAAAGTTTCAAATATGGTCCCGAAGATAAGGGGGTAGGTTGTTATACCTTACTTAGGTGGGTTTAATTGGGTTAAGGGGTCACCCTTTACCTTTTTTCTTCCTTTTTCTTAACTTTTCTTTTGCTCTTTTTCCATAACACTGCTGATGGGGTTCATAAAAGTAGTTATCGGCATGGGAGGGTAGGTACTACGCCTCCAGCAGTGTTATTTCCTCTGGGAGTGCCGCCCCCAGGAAGCAAACCTTCCGAAACCTTTAGGTAACCTTCCCTCTGGTATAGGATGGGGCCCTTCTATATCTTAGATCTAGGCTCAAAAACAAAACAAAAACACATGACCATAATAATTCTTACTTTCAGGGTACTGTTTTTTATAAACGTAAGGTATCCGGCACATACAACCTACTGAACTTTGGAAATAGTAATAAGGGCATAAACTGTAAATCCTCATGCATAGTATGTAATAAAATCACCCACAATAATTATGTGATTTCTGGAGTTACAGGTTTCAAAATCAGTACTTATAAACACAGTCATAGTAACTGTCAATCCAAAAATGTTGTTTATTGTATTACATGTGGCACATGCAGTTTACAATACGTTGGCATCACTACTAGAAAACTAAATGACAGAATCAAAGAACATATAAGGGGCATTTCCAAAAAACAAGGAAAGTTACTATATAAACATTTTGCTGACAATAACTGTGATCCCAGTAAAATAGAAATAAGCATACTTGATAATCTTCCTCAAAATAAAGACAAGGAAGTTCTAATGAATAAAGAACTATTCTGGATTAAACTTTTAGTCACTCCACATCCTTTTGGATTCAATGATAACATCAAGGGATATGGTAACCTTTCTTTCATAAAAAACCCACTTACACATACAAAACCTCACCCATTCTTTAGTCTAAAGATACTAAAGGAACGTAAAAATAGAGGTCATCATAAACATAGGAAAAAATCGAATTCTAGCGTAGAAGACATCCTTAGTGAAATTGAAAACTTATTCTCACATACTATTAGACCTTATCATATCTTTACTTTCTTGAAAACCAAAGATAGTAATTATATCAAAACTTTGATACATTACTTCACTTTTATGCCTCATAGCATTAACATATCACAAAAAAATAAAATAATTCTACTTAGTACACTTTGCTACTATCATTTTCCAAAACCTACCAAGGTTACCAACAATTATCAACGTTTTGTCAATATTAAAATTCCTTTTTATGACTCCATTCTCGACAACATAAATTTGAACAAAATTTTCAATAACAATATCATAAAAACTATAATTAGAGAAACTAATCAAGAATACAAGAAAGTCAGAGTAATTTTTAATTATAACAATCCCTTTTCCACTGCTATATTTAATTACAATAAGTTTTTGAGAACCGTACAAGATTCTGAAGTAGATACCACACCTTGTATATGCAACAACTACACCTCATACATTTCAAACCACCATGGACATGTAGTTACAAGTGATATTTCGATCTTTAATAATTTGACATCTATAAAATCCTTAAGAAAGGTACTAAGTTTAGATTACCATTTGACTACAAACGCAGAAAGATTAAACAACTTTGGTCAGATATCATTAATACATTCATTGAAAAATTAAAGAAACTATATCATTTGAACACTTATAATTATTACCGAGTTCAAAGCACTTTACTGCGGAATTTTTCCTTGATATTTACCAAACTTATCTATAATAAAGGAAGTTCCACCAGTTATGAAATAGATAAAGAAGAGCTAGCTTTCATTCACAAATATTTTGTTATATGTCCACTTGACAAAGCTAGTTCTGATTATGGGATTGTATGCAAAAAATTGTATTTTTCCACTTTATTAAAAGAAATGGAAACAGTTGACAATAACGAAAAGAATACTTATACAAAAGTCAGTAGTATTACACTTCAACAAATCATTTCTAAACATATTTCATTCTCTAAGAACTTAGGCATATACAATCCTGATTATGATACCATACCTATTATATATTGTATCCCAAAGCTACATAAAGATCCTATAAAATTCAGATTTATCACTGGAGCCTATAATAGTAGTACTAAAGGCATCGCAGTAGAACTACTGCATCTATTGAGCTTCATAAAAGTACATTAAAAAAATTACACACGGACTGTACATAGAAATAAACGTTGTTTGCAAACATATTGGTCTATAGAAGACATTAACATTTTTAATGATTTGATGCAGATTGACATAAAAAATAAAAAATTATTTTCAGCCGATTTCACCAACATGTTTACTAACATTCCTCATCAAATCATTATCAAAAACCTGAAAGAAATCATGAAGATTTGCTTTAAAAATGCAAATAGAAAGTATCTGAAAATCAACAAATCCAACAAGGTAGCATATGTATCTAGCCAGGAAGCTGATGAAAGGTGTAGATACTACACGATAGAAGATTTAATATACTTGTTGGACTTTATTCTCAGAAACAGCTACTGCAGAGTTGGAAATAACCTCTATCATCAAACAATTGGAGTTCCTCAGGGCGGAAATGCCAGCCCCGTTATAGCTGATTTAACGCTCTCATACATGGAATACACATACACTAGTAAGATCTTGAATCCCACACACTTCCTTCAGGCTTATCGCTACATGGATGACATACTGATAATTTACAATCACGAAGAAAGCCAGCTTGTTAATACACTTAACCTGATATATAATGATATATTGAAACTAGAAACTACTCACAAGTCTCAATATGAGTGTCATTTTCTTGACTTGCATATAATAATTCAAAATGACTCAATCATTACCAAACAATACAATAAAACTGACGATTTCAACTTTTTTGTTTCTAGGTTTTCCCATGGATCATCTAATATAAGCAACCGTTTAAAAATAGCAATAATCTATACTGAAGTACTGAGAATTTATAGAACATGTTCATTATATAAAGATTTCGAAAACAGGCTGATCAATTGTATCCACCATTTCGCTAATCTGGGTTATAAAAAAGAAATAATTCAGTTTTCAGTGCTAAAATGTTTGGTTTACAATAAAAATATTACGTACAAGTATATACAGCTTGAAAAATTCAGAAACGTAAAAAATTTGGTTAGAAAAATAATTCAAGAATGTTAAACCTAAAAATTGAATACCTAGTCTTGACCTTCCTTTCTGACCTACCCCACCCTATATAAACAAACGATCCACTGTAGTCGCCATTCCATTACCCTCCTACCACTCCTCCCTACTGATGAGCCTCGGGAGTGGCTTACTACTTATCATTCCTCCTGTCTAGGGGTAGAGGCGAAACAGGCTTATAAATTACTTCATTAATGCCTGTATTAGTGGGGTTCCGCAAGGCGCGGTCCTTTCTCCGTTACTTTTTCTGATTTGTACCGCCGATCTCCCGTTGATCTTGAAAACATCAGAGCATATAACAATCCAGATGTATGCGGATGATATCAAGATATACGGGAAATATAGCGGGATAAATCGTGGTGAAGTTCAGTCTGCAACAAAGGAATCTTTGAAAAGATTGGTAGACTGGGCATCATGCTTTGGCATCCCAGTCAACCTGAATAAATGTTTTGTGATGCATTTAGGTGATGATCCAAATTCTGCATATGAGATAAATGGGACTGTCTTGAGAAATTGCTCCACTGCTAAGGACTTGGGGGGTCTTGATAGATGGTAATTTGAAGTTTTCGCATCACATTGATAATGTGGTAAACAGTGCGCACTCAGTTTTATTTAAAATTCTCCGATCTGTTCATACTGAAAATCCCGTACTACTGAAACGTCTTTATAAAGCGTACGTACTTCCGCACCTCGAATACTGTTCAGTTATATGGAATCCTTTTGCAAAGAAAGACATCCTAAAACTGGAAAAAGTCCAAAAAACATTTACTCGCATTCTATTCCTAAGATGTCGCAGAGCTTTAGCTTTTGATGAAATGCCCATTTATCAAGACCGCCTCAAGTCCTTGGCAATGAAAAGTTAGGAATTTAGAGGGACATATCTAGACCTCATTTTCGCTTTTCGTCTTTTTCGTAAAAAAAAATCAGACTTACCGCAAGTAAGTACTGGATTTTCAGGCCTAGTAATAGGATGGGTGGGTTCAATATACACTATCCACCTATTTACAGGAAACGTTTTCTACGCACTTTTAATACTCTATTTTACAGAACACCTAGGTGGCTCGGTAGATTGCCAAATACTGCACTGTTATCTGGAAATTCAGCTACCTTCAAACCTAGAATAGCGCAAGTCGATCTGTTGCAAGTTAAAAATTTTCATAACTACTAGAATTGTTTCTGCTTTTTTCGTTTCTTTTCTAGGAATCACTGCGTTTTGCTCGTCTGTCGCCTTCAAACACGACACTTATGACTGAGCGTTATATTTTTTTTGTTGATGATGGCAGTACTAACATTGGATTAGTCTATGAGTTTTTTTTTCTTTTGGTTTTTTTTTTTGTTACTAACCATTGGACCACTGGCCGACCACACACCATCTATTTCTGCTTATCCGTGAAATCATCCGGAGAGTTTGAGGAGTATTGAATCTATGCATGTGAGGTGAAATTACTCATACATACATACATACATACATACATACATACATACATACATACGTCTAGGCCTTCTGCTATTCTATCTACTTTGTGTGTGGCCGTTCAAACATCTCTATTTGCATTTCCTGTTATTCTTATGGCGCACCTTTGAGTGCATTGAAATAAATAAATAAATAAATGATAACTTTAATTTTTTATTTCATTTCGGTCCAATCAATTGTTTAGATGATATTCAAAACCTAATGTACCGCTATTATAACGAAGAGGCATAAACATAACCATTTGCCTAATCGCCGTTAACCGACTGATATCTTATAGTAATTAATAACAAATCATTATTAACAATCATCATTTTTGAAAATCATTATTAACCCCTGTAAATCTATATTAACCGAAACTGCTTAAATGTACACCCACGCCTATAATTTATTCAAGTGGGGTTAGGTGTTGTTTACTTACACTTTTAGTTTGATTTGCTTTTTTCGGTAATGTTAGGTTAAACCGAAAGTTCTGTCGCTTTGATTTTGAAAAATTCGTAACTGCCCCCTATGTGAGTGTATTGACTTACAAAAAATACCTCCAGATAGAAAAATTCATCTTCTTCCTAACAGCATTTTTGAGGCTCTTTGGCGATGGCGGAATTCTAAGAAAAAAATTCGAATAGGGGAACCGCTCGAACTCGCTTTTTTGAAAATAAATCGTCAAGAATCTGAAAAGCTGGAGAAAAATCTGGAAACATGTTTGTTGTAATCTACACGAGCTGGTCTTTCTAGCAGTGAAAAAGGTTACAGATCTTACCACTTCTGAAAGAAAAAACTATGATTTTTTCAAAAGAAAATCACACTAAAAATGTGATAAATTTTTCAAAAATTACTACAAAGATATGCTGAATGATAGCGTACCAGAGTGTCTGTGAATGGTTTTCACGAACAAATAATTCGTTGTAGCCATGATTTACAGAGCCAAAACTCTTTTGCCACTGGGTAGTAAACAATCTCTTCGCTTGAATTTATTGAAAAATATAATGCTAAACATCAATCAACAAAATAATCCCCACTATTGTCTACCACCATTTTCCATCTATTAGGCAGCTGCTTGATTTCACTCATGTAGAAGCTATCAGGTTGAGATGCGAAAAATTCGTCAAGAAAGTGCTAACTTCCTCAAATTTCTCGAAATTCCTGCCACGCAGCTGGTGCTCCATAGACCGGAAGAGATGGAAATCGGAGCTATGTTAGGACTGTACGGCGGGTGCGGCAGAATCTCCCATCCCAGCTCCATTACCGCTCGTATGCTGCTCGATGCCATGTGTGATCTGGCCTGCATAAAGTAGAATTGGTGTGTTCCTTTCTCGATGGGTGCCACTTTTTTCTATGGAAAGCAACGGCGAGACGGCGAGACTTATCTGTTCGGAATAGATCGCAGAGGTAACTGTCTGATTTGGTCAGAGGAGTTCGTAGTGGATAACTCCTGAAACATCCCACCAAACACATAACATTACCTTTTTCAAAACCGAGCGTTTGGGAGTAAATGCAGGAACATCCGTGGGATCACACCAAGACTTCTCTCTTCCGGTCATCAAAATTAATCCACTTTTCATCGCCGGTGACTTCTTTGACAAAAGAAGTCACCGGCGATGAAAAGTGGATTATATCACATGCAAAGTAGGATAAGTAGGATGGAAGTACAACCAAAGTGATGTTTCGTAACGTTTGCTCTGATGGTGTGATATAACCAGGCGCCGGTGTGCGCCGGAGCTTGTTGCGAAATTGCTCTTCGAGGAAGACTGAAAGGAGAGGAGGGTTTTAGGGTTGTTTTCCCTGTCCGAAATCTTGGGACCGTCACTGGTAAGGTGAAGAAGGATAGGATCCAGGGCCTAGGATTGTCTGAAAGCGGGCTAGACTTCGTTTTTGACGCAAAAAGCAAAGGGGATTTCGTCCTAGCGGAGTCCGGGCCGAGCACCAAGGGTAAGCGCCCATTAGTCGATCGTAAGCTTTTCGAACAGGTTCACGACTGACACGCTCTATCGTGTACGGCGAAAAGTGCGCGCGATTTGAAAGCAAGGCCAAAAAAATTGCTTGCTTACTGCGCACACAGAATCATATGACACCAAAATTGAACTGTATACATAGAATTATTTGCAAAAAAATTAAGCAAAAAGATTTGAAAACTTATGTGAAGTATTACCTTTCCCAAAATTAGTCCGTCTCCAGGGCCGGTATGTATCAATCGCCCGTCCGGGTAAGTTACCCGGACAGGTTGTTTCCGCTTCATAGCTCGGTGCTCTGGGGATCTGTGTTTTTCCTTGTTTGTTTATCTTTAGGAGGCTCTACTACCCTAATATCCTAGCAGAATGAGTACCAGCACTTTGCTGTATAAGCTGAGATAATTCGTTATTTGTATGATCCCGAACGGGATCTCCCACTGATCATGCTTATTTTCAAAGTTATCTGTATCCGCAAAACTCAATGAAAACGTCATAGAGTTTTGCTGTCGATCTATTACGACGGTGCTACGCATGCTTTCAGTAGCACAGATGAAATGTGCAAGTTTTGAGTTCTTCGATAAAGCCCGGCTCGCGAGCACAGGTTCATCGAAGATTTTGTCAACTTGATTTTCCAATTTTTTCTTTCACAAACATGCGTAGCACTTCGCATTAGATCGACAGCAAAACTCTATGACGTTTTCATTGAGTTTTTGCTGATATAAATAACTTTGAAAATGAGCGTGATCAGTGGGAGATCCCGTTCGGGATCATAGAAATAACGAATTATCTCAGCTTATACAGCAAAGTGCTGCTACTCATTGTGCTACAACTTTAGGGTAGTAGAGCCTCCTAAGGATGAACAAACAAGAAAGAACACAGATCCCCAGAGCACCGAGCTATGAAGCGGAAACTACCTGTCCGGGTAACTTACCCGGACGGGCGATTGATACATACCAGCCCAGATGGTCACCAGACGATCTCAGTTCGTCTGGAGCATATATTTTTGTTATTTCACATAAGTTTTGGATTTTTCTATCATGGACGGATTCCCCGGTAAAAAATCTATCCCTGAGCATGAAGACATTATATCATTGCCTTTCTTTCGTTCTTTGCCTTAACTTCTTCATAAATCGCTTTGTTAAATATCGCGCTTCAATATCAAACTCTTCTGTATGCGTACTATTTAGCACCGATTTGGATTTCCACACTTATCTCACGTTTTCTCTTTCGGACTGGTAAATTTTTCTTGTTTTTATTTCTTCCTAAGTAGGTAGGTCAAAGGGGACTTCGTACAACTTTCGAAAGTCAGGGAGACTTCGTTTTCAGTAACCTTAGAAACCGGCTCGTGCCGGGCCCTGATAGGATCATGTTGAAAGTTCGAAAAGAATTATATGAGGAGGATAAATTTTAACTTCTCTCCCAACTAACTCGAAAAACTTTGCCTTCCAGCTCACTTAATTCTTTCGTATTTTCTGTAGGATAACAGTTCCGACTTTTATCTAGCATCTACACGCCAATTTTAGTGTGATAGACGAAACTGTTATTCTTATTTTGCAGAGAAAGAAACGAAGCGATAAATTTCTTCGTTTTGCGATGAAAATAACCGCCCCATCCCTCTCTGTGTAAATTTGCAAATGTCCAAGCAGTCAAGTGCAAGTCTCACTCAAGACACTTCTTGACGCCGACACGCTTCTATACGAAACGACTGTGACCTGCGTGATCAGAAATTTCTGAATTTGTTTTACTCATCTCCGAATTTACATTAAGTAGCAAGGAAATATTTACACAAGGAAAATTTTTTTCATACACAATATACTAAGCCCATATATGTATTTCTTGAGGGGTTCACTCAGAATCTCTCAAACGATATTCCTTATTTCACCGCCAAAACAATATCCACTACAGCCCCTAAGCCACCTCTCTTGGGTCCTGTTGAGGTCCAACTAAAGCTAGCTAGCTAATTCATTATTATCTGCATCATCCTTTCAGGGGCACTTTCTAGAGCATAACATTATCTTTGCATTTGATCTCCTTTGGTTGAGTTGTGAACATATTTGCTAGCTTTTTGCCACGAGGTGGCCGGTTGTCGGCCTTCGACTCATTCTTTCTTCAATCTTACGATGTGTATACCAGGGTGTGTTCACCTACATCCATAGGACATTGTTAAATTGACAGTTGAACTTATGCATTTTTTCCAGAAGTAAAAGAAGTAACAGAAAAACGAACGTTAAAAGTAAGTTCGAACAGATTTGGTGTTCCTAAAGGAGGCAAAAACTCCAAGTAACCAACTTCACTATGGCTTTCAGGTTCTAAAATCCTGGAATTTTCAAAAAAAAATCTCTTTTTTCACTAAGTTGAAACAGCGCGAATGTGCACATTTGTGACGTCTCGTCATTTGTAGAGTGTAATGGCATAATCTCAATGCAAAGTCGTTTCGATCAAAAAGTTCAAAAGTTTTGCAGAATTTTCTGCTAATCCGACACATCAGCACATGTTCATTAGGGTCTCAGAAAGCAATTTTGTTTGAAGCAGTCATTTGAACGTAGTTTATATGGGCCGCATTTAGTGAAATGCCCTGGTTCCAAATCTTTCCCAAGCGTCACCTAAACATAGAAGGCATGCAGCGGTTTCACTGTCTCTATGCCTTCCTCCTCCTCGCGCAGCAATGAGTGATTGGATGCTCACCGGTATTGCTAACTATCACGCAAGGATGTAAACCATTCCTAATGCAACTCGTGTAAGATCGGTAGCTTCAAATGATACTGTCAGCAGTGGAATAAATCAAATCCTAAGTAGCTGTTAAGCCAACAGGGCTTGTAGTCTTCATAAGAATAAACCGATGCACATTCTTCCCTGAAGAAAGAACTTTGTAATCGTCGAATACAATCTTTGGCTCTCAGTTTCAAGTTAAACAAATCTGCTAAAATCAATTGCGGTTACATAGTAGTCCAACTGCAAATGAAAGTCATGTGCATTCGCACGATATGCGAATTTCAACAGGATCAAGAAGACACGGATCCGCTACCACTGCGCATTGAGAATCTACATGCTGGTAGCGCGTTACGCAAAAATTTGGCAGAGATCTTGGGAGTAACTCTCTCTTTGGCAAACAGACGTACTCACTGAAAAGAGACATTGCCGTATATCATGGTGGGATACAGGTGTCTTTCTGTAGGAAGAGTTACTACCCATTGCATAGATTCAAAGCGTTGAGTTTTACTCACTTCTGATGATTTGTTCCGAACTTGTTGTAAGCTTTGCTTCCTGAAACGTTTCCTGATCCTGTCCTGTGTTAACACGTTTCGGACCGCGAAATCGCGCGCGGCAAAAAAAAGTGCACTTTCAGCCATAAGCCAACAAAAGGACCTTATTTCGCAAACTGTGTGCTACATCTGTAATCAGCTTGTCAGATAAGTTCCATACCCAAAGTTCTGAATGGGTTCGAAGTGTTCAAATTTTGTCGCTTGTGAAAGACTTCTGTGCTTTTTTGAAAGATAGGAACAAGAACTTATTTTCTAATAGTATCCAAAAGTATCCATGTTGAAGACGGTACACATCAGTATTGAAACTACGGTTTCTTTGATATAGACGCAAAGGAAAGTTGCGACGTCGCACGCGTCGTTCGCGTTGCCGCACTTCGTGCAACTGTTGTTCGATTTGTGCTCATATCTCCTAAACAAACATCGACGGCACAACTCTACAGTCATTTTAAAAGTAGAGGCTTAGGCTTGATTTGATAACCTTGGACTAAAAGAAAACCTCCCGTAAGTGTCAAACAGATCCTTCGAAGCAGGGTGCTGCACCATGTGCAGCACCGGTCCGAAACGTGTTAATTCGAACGCCCTCTTTCCATAATTAAATTTTCCTGTGTAAATGTTCAACAGTTTTACCTGAGAAGCCCGCAGAAATTTAGCATCTGCCATTATTTACGTTTCTGTTCGTCAACTGTTTTCCGAAAGCCTTTGCGAGCAATCTAAGCATTTTAGCCTATAACTGATGCATATATAAGGTCAAAACGCGCGTTTTCGATACATTTCACAGGCGTACGGCGCAAAAATGAAGCCTCATCACGTGAACTCAAATATTGCTGTAGCTGAAAACTTCAAAATTGACGCTGGTTTTCAAAATCAGGGTTACACCATGTCACGTATTTTATATCAGCGTGTACTTTCGAACTTCTTTATTCATATAGAGGTGTTAGAACAATGTGTGCAGCTGCATTTTTTCTATTTATGAAATTTCGAAAGGTTGGCCGCAAGGTAATTAGAACAAGACACTGCCGTCCTCCTGTATTCGCGTTTGCCGCTTCAGGCCTTAGGCAAACCTCACGCGATTCGGCCGAATCGCCACTTTCACGCGACTTGGCGATTTGCCAGATTTCTATAAATTTATCATGCGCACTTTTCGGGCGCTTGGGTAGATTGTGTAAGTTGTTGCAAATAGAGCAAGTTCTGACCAAAGACAGCGCATTAACGACGAATTACGAAAAATCGCTGTTGTGCCAAATCGCGCAGCGACCGGAATCGCGCGAGGTATGCCTTAGGCCTTAGAAAAAGGACCTATTTTCTCTCGCCATCCTTCTACTAAAGCAGGGTTACTCTAGCTACTGTTCTTTGCTCGAACGTGATTATAATGGCCTTCCAGTCAATTACGATTTACTTATATCTCTTTTTCTTCGATTCCCATGTGTCTTAAACATTTTTTCAATTAGTATAGAGGCCATGTATTGTAAGACAAAATTCGTATGACCATAACGCCCTTTATGTTTTCCGATGGTTTTGTGACGTAACTCAAGAAATGGGTTTATTTACGTTTCGAGTCATTCTATCACATCCCGCTGTTTGTGCTACATCACCCGTAGACAATGTGTAATGAAAGATGTCTTCGCATCGCATTGAAAACTCAGAGCTGTTTGATTAAAACCTACCTCGAATCGCCGTAAGTGGAAAGTCAAAAATGTAACTTTTATGCTTAACTAATAAAAAGAAGCAACATTCTATAAGTGGTTGACAAATTTTAACTTTCTTAAGGTAGTAAATTGTAGCGCTTTACACAAAAAGGAATAGTTTGCAGAAGCGAGCGTACAATCAGTGCAGATAAAGAGAGTTGCAAAGTGCTGAAAATCGACAAATGCGCTATCGTTGATAGAATCATTACGGTCATTATTTCAAGAAGGATGTAAAAAGCAATTATTATGAAGCTGGAGTCCGCTTCGCTAGAGGTCTATAACCGCGCAGACTGTACATTGCCAATAAGAGGATGAGGTATCAAAACGGCTTCATAGCACAATATGTCACACAGTGCAAAAGTGCGTGAACTGCTGTAGGTGGATGCCCACTATTCCATTTTGTCCAAACTGGGTTGAAATAAGTTGTGAAGGCATTTACAGGCTATTACAGTTTCAGTTTCCGACGCTGGTAGTAATGATAAAAAAGAAGCCGAACTCCAAAAGACACAAGTGGATTTTCAACAACCGGAGATGCAGGAAGCGGTCCCGCAACAACAACAGCAACAACACCAGGAGTTGCCACCAGTGGTACCATCACGTCCGCTACAATACGAACGCAGCTTCAAAGTGGCTAGATCATCAGCAAACGCTAAGGCCATGGTAGGTTTATAGGAGAATCTGAAACTCTTTGATGCTTCTGAAGGGCATCGAACGCTGATTGCAAATCTGTCTTCCTTACTGCGGGGCGCCTCAGCGAAATATCAAACATGTAGCTAAAAGAAAACCAGTCGTAGAAGTACCTCCTCAGTTCAGATGGAATCCTGGTGACTGTCAAATCTCTGCATGAATACAGAACTACTTGCATGCCACCCTCGTGCTCCCCTTTATTCTATCTGATGGATGGAAAGGCTGTCAGTATTGTTCTTTCTTTAGAAAAGATGTTCCATTTTTTGACTCATAAGATTCTCATAACTCCTCAAGGACGACAAGTTAGAAATCAACGTTCATGCTCTTCGAACAGGTGCGCGCCTTTTATTGGAAAAGCCATTTCGTTTAAAAATTCTTCCCTGTAAGATTTTTGAAAATAGAGCTGAAGTTTTGGCATTATATAGGTGAGTTACAGTCGAATCATCTCATATAATCATGTGTGCACGCGCATACACCGTCCATTTTTGGTATCCTCATCCTGGATATGTAATCGCAAAAAACGCAAAAGACTGACCGAATGCTATCGCTTACTTCACTTTGAGGTGAATCGTGCCTTAAAAAGGAAGAAAACATTGAGAGCACATTGAAATCACTTACTTGAAGGGTTTCCTCCTCCAAGAATCTAGGATGGGAACGCCAAAGATGGGCGGTGTGCAATGGCACACATGATTATAAAATGATTTGACTGTACAAACTCGTACAAAAGTTTTAGTTTTTGCTAGGAAAAATCTGACCAATTTCTGAGACTAGTTTCTTTCGGAATTCAGAGTAAAGTAAGAATACAGCCGCTTGTCGCTGCAATCAAAACAAAGTCGAAACTGCCTACAAATAACTGTTTGAGGACTGTATCAAAGGAGATTTTCTGACGTATGCGCAGTTTCGGCTTGATGTGTTTGACTCGGGACTAAGACTTTTTACTTTGACTCGGTTTTATCTTACGTAATAAGACCTCGAAAATGAACTAGCTCTTGGAAATGGTGGGGGACAAATGGCGTAGTGGTGTGAAGCGCCGCTATGATTAGATCGGACTCAGGTTTGATTAGGCCAACCAAACCTCTACTCCGGGGTCGGTAAATTGGCTCCAGAATAATCTAAAAGGATGAAAGCGTTGACTTGATAACTGGCTGGCCCTCGTAAGTCACACCGAAAGGCTCGCGCGTTACAGCTTCTTCGACTATGGAGAAGAGTGCGTTTGGGTCATGCGCGCAGAGGGTATTAGATTTACAGAATGTTTTTCCTTTATTGTATCCCTTTTCAAAATGGTCAAATTTCCTATCTTGTTATTGAAAGTCAAGCAATCTGTGTAAATCTGTAGCTACACTACAGTGTTTAGGCTTATGATAAGTGGGGTTACCTTGCTTCGCGAAGTTCGCACTACACTAGTTCAGCTATCTACATAGTTCGTCACATGATAGAATTTTGATTTTTATAATAAGGACGGCCTAGTAACGTGCTAATAATACCTACTGATAACATGTGTTGTGCAAGAATTGGGTAGATCTTGGCTGGAACTCGCTTCAAGTTTCGTAAGACGAACAGGCAGAGACATAAACAAACAGAACTTCATGCAGAGGCACACAAAACAGGCAGGTGGACAGATGCACTAGCACATAGGCTGATAGGCAGATATCCAGACATACAGACAAACACCAAAACGTAAGGCTTGATCCAGAGGGTTAAACCAGAGTGCGCCGCGTACGGGCGTACGTGACGTACGCAGCGTACGCTCGGTATATTTCAATATAGGAGCGAACGCGGCGTACGCTGCGTACGCCGCGTACGCCGCGAGGTCTGGCTCAACCCAGACTTCGCGGCATATGCGGCTACTGACGTACGCGTACGTCAGTAGCCGCATATGTACAGTAGTGTACGCACGCGTGATTTAAGACACAAAGCATACGCTACGTACGTCGCGCAATCTGGCTAAATCTTAACCAAGAACACCTTAGTTGCTAATTGGGATACCCGGCTCGGTCCCTGTTAACACAGCATGATAGAATTAGCCATTCCGTCCTACTTCTACACATCATCTCCTTGTCTCTGTTCCCGCTTCTATACGCCAGATCCCTGCCCCCTGTCTTCTTGATTAGTATACTCCTTGTCCCTACCACCCCTCTCTCCCCCCCTCCCAGAATCAATTACCTTCGAGAAAGCGGCAAGCTTTGACCCGGATCAGTTTGAAACAGAGTTTTCTATGAGGAAAACATATAAACGAACCCTCAGCTTTATATACATCTTATATATAAAGCTGAATGTCTGTTTGTCTGTATGTATGTCTGTATGTATGTCTGTATGTCTGTATGTATGTACGTATGTTCCGAATAGAAAATTCCATTTCTGAACCGATCCGGACCAAACTTGGCACACATACACATCGGGCCCCGGCGGGTGTCATAGGCTACTTTTCGTCATCGATCGATATCGATTTTATCGATTTTTATCGATTTTTTTGCTGAGTTCACCTACGGGGCTGGGAGTTGGCACAGGGGGGTAATCGAGCATGGGGATTCCGAATACAATATTGGTGTTCAGGATTATCGATTACTTTTATCGATTTTATCGATTTTTTTGCAAAGTTTGAGCTACGGGGCTGGGAGTTGGCACAGGGGGGTAATCGAGCATGGGGATTCCGAATACAATATTGGTTTTCAGGATTATCGATTACTTTTATCGATTTTATCGATTTTTTTGCAAAGTTCGAGCTACGGGGCTGGGAGTTGGCACAGGGGGGTAATCGAGCATGGGGATTCCGAATACAATATTGGTTTTCAGGATTATCGATTACTTTTATCGATTTTATCGATTTTTTTGCAAAGTTTGAGCTGGGGGGCTGGGAGTTGGCACAGGGGGGTAATCGAGCATGCTGATCATCCCCAAGGGGGGTGATCAGCATGCTCGATTACACCCCTGTGCCAAATTCCAGTCCCCTAGCTCAAATTTTCAAAAAATCGATAAAATCGATAAAAGTAATGGACGATCTTGGAAACTAATATTGTATTCGGAATCCCCATGCTCGATTACCCCCCTGTGCAAACTCCCAGCCCCGCAGGTCAAACTTTACAAAAAAAATCGATAAAATCGATAAAAGTAATGGACGATCCTGAAAACTAATATTGTGTTCGTAATCAGCATGCTCGATTACCCCCTGTGCAAAATCCCAGCCTCGCATGTCAAAATTTACAAAAAATCGATAAAATCAATAAAAGTAATAGATAATCCTGAACACCAATATTGTATTCGGAATCCCCATGCTCACTTCCCCCCTGTGCCAACTCCTAGCCCTGTAGGTGAACTCTGCAAAAAAATCGATAAAAATCGGTAAAATCGACATCGATCGATAACGAAAAGTGGACTGTGACACCCGCCGGGGCCCGAAGTGTATGTGTGCCAAGTTTGGTCCGGATACGGCGGAGCCGGGTAAGCCAGCTAGTAATATGATAATCCTATTTTCAACCTGTATTGAGGCTTGCTTCCATTTAGGCTAAACACTGGTGCAATCGTGCTCTAGATATGGGTGTGCCTGGACTTATTGAAGAGTTCAAAGTCAATCTCGCAAGGTGGAAACCAGAGGGAATGACTGTTGACGCTTTTCTCGCCAATCGCGATAAAAACAGGTGAAAACTCTTGTATTGAGGAGAACTGCAACGAAGTCTAGATGTTATTTAGATATCTTGACGTTCCCTGCCAAGACGCTCGTCGCGTTATTGTGAATTGGCCAGGATTACCAAATGATTACATCCATGCGAATTACGTAGCAAATCCAACAAAAGATGATCGCTTTATCTGTGCTCAGGTAACCTATTCTAATGTCAAAAAGCATGCGGCAACTTGCAAAGATAAAGAGGCTAAAGCTTGAAAAATGAAAATTTTTGACGCCGCTCAATTGAAGCAGATTCCTAGAAGAAAGATTGTTATTGTAGGCAAACGCATATCTCTTATTGACATATACATTACGTCATTCCGAAAGTAATTTCGCTTTTTTCAAAGGGGCGCCACATTTGATCGAACAGAGATTTTCTAGAGATCTTGGAAGCATTCGATGCAGAATTTCCTCCTCTTTCTAAACATTATAAAATTATTGCAGCATAGTCAATGAGCTTTTGAAAAATTACCGAAGTCTGCGATCCATGCTTTTTGAGATGCTCAAGTTTCACAATTTTTCTAAATTTTTACTTCAATCTTCCGAAGGAGCCCAAGTAACGATTCGATAGAGCGAACTTCACAGAATATGGCTAACTTTTTTCTTGTTTTTATGTCTCGCCTGTCTATAATTTCTCAAAAGATTTATTGTTAAAACCATCAAATTTTGGCAGGCCTACGTCAGCTACATTCGCATCAAACATCAATAAAATTTCGAAATTTGAAACTTCCAAGATGGTATTATGATTTAACACTAATTTTACAAAACGAATGCGAGTTTACGGATTCGAATTATCTATTTCGATTTTTCTGGGTACCCGGAACGCGTTCAAAAATATGAATTATGATGATTTTGTATGCGAAAACTCCACGAAGGGCAAATAAAAAACATCCATTAGAAAGAGTAGAGCAAGCTGCATTGAATGACACTCGAGCTGCTTACCGTTTGATGTTCTACGATGTTTGAGTTGACCAAGAATGCAAATTGATAGCATTAATCAAAATTCTATCAAAAAATTTTGAGGAGTTATGTGAAGGAGAAAAAAATGTTTTGTATCCTGTAGGGTTTGCTTTATCCACTCGCCACTTGGGCACCTTCAGAGAATTGATATGAAGATTTTGAAAAACAGCTAAAGTTGACCATCTCTAAAAGCATAAGTCGCAGATTTTGGTTATTCTCTGAAAGCTCATTGATTGGTTTGCAACAATTTCATAACCATTAGAAAGAGAATGGAACGCTGCATCGAATGCTACTAAGATCTCTTGGAAATCTCTGTTCCATCACATGTGGCGTTCGTTTGAAAAAAGCGAAATTACTTTTGGAATGACCCAATATATGCAAATATCTTGGAGTTGAGCTATCACAAGAAGTCGAATATGATATTTTGAGGGACCGCTGGACAACACACAATTGGCGTTTTGGGCAATGGTTATTCTGGTGAAATCAGAGGCCATCATTATGCTTTGCAATACGATTGAACAAGTTCGTACTTTGTGAAGGGTACTCATTAGTTGCTTAGTTTATTGCGACAGCCTAGTAAGCTTTGATAGCATACTTGTTAAGTAAGCGCGTTGAGAAATACTACGATATTTTTCAGGGTAAGTTCAAGTGCTCGCAGTACTATCCACGTGAAAAGGGCGAAACTATGACGTTTGGAGAAGGACCAGGAAAAATTTTTGTGACTAACTTGGATGTATGTTTACAAATTTGTTCATTGAAAAAATGACCACATGCCACAGCACTTCTAGGTCCAGCCTTTGTCAGAAGAAGATAACTTTGTAAGAATATGCCGTCTAAAGATCGATTATAAAAAAGATGGCAAAGAAGAGAGTTCAATCATTAGGCATTTTCAATGGGAAAATTGGCCAGATCGAGGAGTTCCACCAACAAGGCTGACAGCTACGGTATGCACGTCGTCATCTTGCCGTTTGCCGACAATTATTCTATAGAACATCCTGAGTGAAGTACGGGGAACGACGAAACCAATTATTGTGCACTGTTCAGCTGGTATTGGTAGGACAGGAACAATTGTAGCTATCGCTTACGTGCAAGAGAAAATGCAACATGGGGTAAGGTTTCGTCTCATAGCAAGCCAATATTACGAATAGGTCAAGCGTGAGATGTGGCACGCCACCTGGGGGTCGTATGTGGGAAAGCCAGGGTCTACGCTCGTCGCGACTCTTCGCGATGCGACGATGCAACGACGTCAAGAGTACATGATCTAGCACTCGTTTTGAATTTTATCCATGGCATCGAGTCATGTATCTGCCCCACCCACCCTTTAGTCCTCTGCCGTGCCACCCTTTGGCCGATGAGTTTGTGTAGGGAGAGGGGGGGGGGGGGGTGAGCGGCAGAGCGGCAGAGCGGTCGCCAAGCGCGGCGAGCTCCTGCCGCGCGGCTGGAGTCGTGTTGAGGGGATAGCGAGGAAAGGCGGTCGTGATCAAAGTGATACTTGTTAACATAACATGATATGTGGTAACAATGTCAGATAAGCCCGATTAGGCACCTCTTTTTGTACTCAGTGAAAAGCAATCTTCCTCCTTTGTTCACATGAGGTCCTTTCAAATGACCTTGAAACTATGGGAATTAAAAGCTGGTCGAAATCTCGTTTATTTGATTTTCGTTTTCGATGGTTGTGCTTTTAGCCCATTACTCACAAGGAGAGGATACCTAGTCGAGAGCACCAATCCAAAGGAGACACATCATCTGAAAGCGCTTGAAGCGCTGATTCCAAATCTATAGTTTCTAGCTGCGGAACGGTTCTGTAGGAGAGTTATAAGGGGTGTTTCCCTCTGGGGTTGAGGCGCCCTTGAGATGTCGGCTCTTGTTTACGAGCATTATAGAAAAACGAAATGGTGTAATGGTAAGTAATCTGAATGAAGGTCACAATAAGGATTATAATTCTCATATTACTTTGGTTTTTTAACTCTTCTAACTTTGATTAGCATCAATATCATCAGAAACGTCAGGCTTTGAGGCTCCAAAGCCATGAAGCTCAATTTTGCAAAAATTGCGATAAAGTGCATGCGAAGGGATTAAATCTTGACACTTTCCCTATCAGGCAAGTCATTTACCACTAGGCCAGTTGGCCACAAGTTGGTACTTCTACAGTGCTCATAGATAAGGGGAGACCTGCTGGAGATCGCCTCAAACCAGAGGGGAACACCCCCTCATACCTCCTTCTACAAAACCGTTCCGCAGCTAAAAATTATAGATTTGGAATCAGCGTTTCAAGCGCTTTATGATGATATATGTTTCATTTGAATTGGTGCTTTCGACAGGTATCCTCTCCTTGTCAGAATAAAGACGGCGAATTATGTTCAAGTCACTTCTATGAAAACTAGAAGATCTGGGCTTTCAAATGCAAATACTGCGCCTTTTCCTCTCGCAATATACGTATTAGCGGCCCTACGGGCCGCTGTAAGTGGGTCGGCCAGTATTTGCTCAGTTGGGACTGCATCTAACTATAAACAGTGTTCACATTTCCTTTCTAGAGAAGCTAAATAAATGAAAAATCAAACTTCTCAGGTAGACACAAAAGTATCTGATCCTTCCTTCCATATACCACCACCAGAATACAGTTATTTGATGCAGCTTGCTTCTTCCGTTGCTTAGTTAAAATCAACATAATCGCTTCCCTAACAAGGCTGATCAATGCAGGTGCTGGCTGGGTCTTCACTCCGGGAGCAAGGGCAAAATTTAGGACTCCAAAGCAAAGCTGATAGGCCGTTGGAAATCAAACAATAGTGGAAAAACCCAGGGTTTGGAAGCAAAAGCTAAGGTGGTTACAGGCCGTGGGCAATGTGGCGCAAATTCCGTCGAAATCGAGGTTTTCACCGTTTTCATGGAAATTGTGAGGGGAAAACAAAACTTTTCACTCAAAAACTGATCAGCCACATAGAGAGTCTGCAGGAACTCAACCAGCGAGACCACAGCTTCCATGCTGGGTCTTCACTCCGGAAGCAAAGGCATTTTCTGTAAATTCTGTCGAAATCGAGGCTTTCACCATTTTTCACGGAAATTGTGGGTAAAAACAAAATCTTCACTCCAAAAAGTGATCAGCCACAGAGGAAGGCTGCGAAAAATGCATTTTTTGCTATTTAGTTGCTCTTCGGGATTTTCGTTCACATTTCACAAAATGTTGAGTTCTGACGACTATTCTAAGGAGAGTTGCAATGCTCAGATTATATATCAAACTATTATGCAAAATGGCAAGGCAGCAAGGGAATCTTCAAATTGAAGGTGGAATGTAGCTAAGAACATGAAAGGAAGAAGAACCGTTGTGTAAGCAATAAAGATGCTCCAGCTGTGAAAGCCGTGATCAAACCGAGCATACGGTATTTCACCACAATTCGTCATCGCAGGCAAAAGCACGTGTCGTCATCGCATGCCGTGCGATTAATTGACAAATGTGGAGACAACTCTCCCTCCTCTCGAGCTTGTTTGGAGTTCGCGGATAGGAGTACATCGCTTCTAGATCTCTCATCGTCCAAAACCTCTGCGAGAGATGTCTCGTACGCCCACACTGTCAACAACTGCCCCTCCGCAACGCTGAAAGAGGCGTCAAGGTGGGAGAACGATGTATAGTTTTCGCCGTCGCGCCGGATGTTTCCAGTTTATATATAACAAGGATTAACGCAGATCGAGCATACTACCATAACCCAATTTTTGCCATGATAGGATTGAAAAAACGACTATATCTTCTTCTAAGAGTAAAATCTTGATGAAATTAGTGAGAGAAGGGCTTTGCGGCCTTAATGACAGATCTGGGGCGGAATGCAACAATCGCCCGTCCGGGTAAGTTACCCGGACAGGTGGTTCCCGCTTCATAGCTCGGTGCTTTGGGAATCTGTGTCATTCCTTGTTTGTTCATCTATTGGAGGCTCTACTACCCTAATATTGTAGCACAATGATTAGCAGCACTTTGCTGTATTAGCTGAGATAATTCGTTATTTGTATAATCCCGAACGGGATCTCCCACTGGTCACGCTCATTTTCAAAGTTATTTACATCCGCAAAAACTCAATGTAAACGTCACAGAGTTTTGCTGTACATTTATTACGACAGTGCTACGCATGTTTGTGAAAGAAATAAGTGAAAAAGCAAGTTGACAGTATCTTCGCTGAACCTGTGCTCGCGAATTGGGCTCTATCGAAAAACTCAAAACTTGCACATTTCATCTGTGCTACAAAAACATGTCTAGCACGTCGTAATAGGTCGATAGCAAAACTCTGTGACGTCTTCATTGAGTTTTCGCGGATATAAATAACTTTGAAAATGAGCGTGACCAGTGGAAGATCCCGTTCGGGATTATACAAATAACGAATTATCTCAGCTTATACAGCAAAGTGCTGCTAGTCATTGTGCTACAATATTAGGGTAGTAGAGCCTCCAAAAGATGAACAAACAAGGAATGACACAGATTCCCAAAGCACCGAGCTATGAAGCGGAAACTACCTGTCCGGGTAACTTACCTGGACGGGCGATTGTTGCATACCGCTCCTGGATGTGCTTGCTGCTTCGAAGCTAGGTTTGGGGTGTGGTACAACCCCGAAAAGGCGCGACAGCCATACCTTCTTCAGGGTTGCGACACACTCCATTATCTTACGCCCAGAGAAATTTCTAGCGAACATTATTTACATGGTTCTATTGCGTAAACATTATGGTTCACAGCAGTAATACAAGAATGATTCGTCTTCTTCACTCTGAGGATGTAGCTAATTCACCTTTGAAAGACAGTTAACCATGATATAACTGATTATTTCACGACCAGTACTTGGAAGCTTCAACATTCACCTGGTCCACAAGGATTATCTGACATGATGATCATGAATATGCCATTATGTTTGTTAGGGTCTCATGCTATGCCTAGGTAAGTAGGCGATAGTAGGGGGGGGGGGGAGGGTCTACTGAGACACTCAGTAGGAGAAAGGGTCCTATCCGGCGGTCGTGTGCCACACCTCATGCCAACTTTGATTCTGGATTGAATTTTATGTAAGACTATTACAACCTTGGAAAGGCGTTATCTGGTCTAGACCATTTTGAAGTGTTTCAGTCCGCCCTAAATACTAATTGGCTTTTTGCGCCCCTAACTCGTCCCATTTTGCATAAGCTGAATCATCTTGGCATATGTAAGGCAGACAAACTGCCTCCACCTTTCACTGATCTACTACCGAAATTTGCGAGATGAGCTGAATAGACGCAACTTTTTTCACTGATTATCACACAGTGACACAGCACAGTGTGCGTGTTATGAGATAGATATGTACCGCACTATTCAAAACAATTTTGAAGGCTATGGGGAGTAGAAAGCATGGTTTAGAAGCGGAAACCACAATTCATATATATATTTCGAATTTCGCATATTTTCAGCAAAACTGCATGGACATGGATGCGCTAACCAAAGAACTTCGCACTCAACGACCATACTCGATTCAAAACGAATATGTGAGTTTCAAGGGTGTTTGAGTAAACTTTTGCAATCATAATTTTAGCAATACGTCTATGTGCATCGCGTACTTTTGGCATATTTTTTGGAAAAATATCATGACCGCTTCCAACACATTTTGGCGGGAGATGGAGAAGCAAAGTATGCGAAATGGAGAGAAGAGTATAAAATGTTTACGGGTTGTGATTAACGTCGTTTACGTTCGATAAATTTTAGGCTGTTTACACATTGTTGCGCACTATGTTTATTCTTCGAGTATACTTTGCTTCCTGTTTAGTATCCGCTTCTTTTTCGCAGGCATATGATTTTCCAAATTTGTTCCTTTGGTTTCCGGAAGGAAGACTTGGAAACAGACACAGTCAAGAAATGATAGCACCAAAAGCAGCAAATAGGGCAAGACCGGCCAGATTTCAGCCTAAAATGGTGATTTGGACAATGGTGCAGATGTGCACTATGCGCAATTTATCGCACGCACAGACTGGACGCCGTTTTATCCGGTCAGGATAGTCCGAGTTTGGGAGAGATGGCAGACGGTTAGAGTAATGAAAGTATGAGTTCACAATGGCGCCCTGTCTCTGTCTGCGATAGATAAATCGACAAAAAAACAAACCAGGTAGAAAAGCTGTGGGGCAAAAATCGTTCCAACTCTGCTCGCGACAGAAAGTGCTGAAACGGCGATGTTCCGGACAGCAGTAGGGAAGAGCTCACTAGTGATCATAAATGTCGCAATGTACAGCTGCAAAATAAAAATTTATTTCAAATTTCGCTCAGAAATAGCCCTCAACATTTTGGTACCCAGGGTTACCTTGTCATATAGTACCACCTCTCATACTGCCACAAATTCGGTTCGACAGATCAGGGAGGTGCCCTCCTACATACGATAATGACAGTCCAAACTAGACAACTAAGGAAGGTTTTGCACATTGAGAGAAAAGTATGCGATCCTGCGATTACTTTGATTGGAAAACTCACGTTCTTCCTTTTTTCTCACTGCAAAAATTTCAAAATCAAAATTGTTAAGAAAACTTTACTACGTATTTGGATTATAAATACTTGTAAAGAGTAAAGAGTAAACAGTGCCTTCATATCGCGCCGACAGGCACTATCCCAGTGTCAGGATACCAAGATCTAAACCACTTTTTTGCTCATAAGTGATTGAATATGGTTAATCCACATGCTGATCACAAATATTATAATCTCTTTGCCGAGCTCCTCAAACTTTTGGTATAAGTTTTGGCTCTAAGGCATGTGTGTTAATTCCGCAACCGAGTCATTTGCTTCACATTAATATACTTGGGAATGTTACCACAAGTTCGAGGAGCGTTCCACCCTTTCTGGCGCTTTTGGGCTTTTTTGGGCTTTTTCGGGCTTTTTGGGCATTTTTGGGCTTTTTCTTTTCGGCGAGATATGACGGGTCCCCGAGGTTCATCGGCAGACATGATCGTGGCGGGATTCAAAACTTGCACTTTTGTGAGGGAAGCGATTGTTGTTGAATCCTACATGGTGAAAATGGTCCGTATAATGTTCGGAATCGGGATACAAGACTCATCGATTCTATTAATTTGTCGGTATGTAAGGGGGTGGGAAAGTAAGTGAGCTGTTGCTTATGAAGACAGCAGCCGTACTATAGATAATCGATTCTAGTGTTTTGACATCTTTTTTCGCAAATTTCAATCGGGCATAGCGAGTGGATAGAGGTACAAAGGTACAGGCGGTGGATTAGGACATGCTAATTGCGAAAGTAATATCAATCTAGAAAACTGTGCATTTTTCTTACACTTTTCTGCAAACTTTGATATGGGGAGCTGGCATTTGGGATAGGGAAAAGTGAGCTTCCTGGTTGCGAAAGAAAGTAGAAACTTTCATGAAACCGGGGAGAGACGGGGAGAAGTTGTACAGAAGTCCGAAAGGTTTGGATAGTAAGCTTTATCACGGTATATCGACAAGAACCAAGTGAAGCCGAGTATCCCCAGTATAAGGTAAGAACGAGTTACCTGACTTGTCATGGCTGTCACTCCAATCGTACAGTACCGAATCACCCATGCTTCCTCTTTTTGTAAATCTTCAAATATCAAACTTTCTCATGCACAGGATAAATCTACTTGACTCACCTTGCGAATAAAGAATACAAACAATCGCAAGTGCTGCCATTATCAAAATCATCGCCCCCATGTTGATAACCTTTCTTCCAACAAATTTGCAGAAATAATCGCTTACACCAACAAAGATATTGACTGCCCAACGTATAGCCTGAAAATACCGAACATTTTGAGGAACTTGTGCTTATGTAATTGGATACATACACCAAAATTAGCATTATTCCAATAAAGTGATCCTGAAAGCTTTTCCATGTTGAAAAGGAGACCATAGTTTACCAGAGAAGCAGTTATTCTGAAAATACTGTCTAATCATTACCACATACGATATATTGAGAGATAGCAAAAATTCCTCAGGAGGGTTAGAAGAGAAAAAAATATGAAAGAGCGTGCAGAAGCCACTATCAGAAATGTATTCAGTCGATTCTGCAGACTTTCGGCGGAATCTCTTTCGCGTTCCCCAAAAGAAAGCTACTACAAAGTTAGTCAGATATTTGGAAAAGCTATAAAGTCCTAGTGGTTTACAAATTCCCCCCCTCCCCTCCCCCCAAATGGGTCGCAAAATTTATTATTTACATGAGTATTAGAAGTGTGCGAGTTACATATTTATGGTTTTGAATATTTGAAATAATTCTTGAAATTTTGGAAAATTCAGGTTAGCTTTGTAAAACCCGCAAGTATTCTGGGAAATACATCACAAAAACTTTCGGAATGCTTGGGTAACGCCGCACCCTCATTCCCAAAAAATTTCCTTCCCCCCCCCCCTTCCCCGAACGGAAATCCTGGGACGTCTACTGGCAAAGTATATTGCTTGCACGTTCTAAACCACCATGTGTGCGCATTCACGCCCAAAAATGACTCATCTTTCAGGAGGGTAGGAAGAGGGAGGGGTGGTCCTCGCTGACAAGGAAATATTCTTGTAGAAGAATGAAAGTGTTACTAGCTATTGAAAGTGTGCGATTTTGCATAGCTGAGCTCTAGAACACCCTTCGTTAGAAAACACTTTTGTCTTTCTCATCTCGTCGTGTTTCCTTCATGCCCAGTACAGTATCCAAATATTACGGTATACTCACACTGCAAGAGATACAGTAACAGTCCATTTGAAGTACTTCCACGTCGACACCAAATGATAGAAGTTGTAATTCTTGCGCTTTTGTTGTTTTTGTTCAAACATCTGAACATAGTAGGGTTAGAAATTTTGAACTTGCAGCTTCGGTAAATATTCTTCTTCTTACATCTTGTTCGTGCACTAGCATAGCTTCTATATCTTCAGCTTCTTTCTCGCAAGTCTTTCCATCCATTTTGCGCATGTGAGCCAGCACTTTTCGTGCTCGATCAAATTTTCCATGTTGAATCAACCATCGTGGACTCTCATTCAGAAACCTTGAAATAAACCAAACTTCTAATATCTAACTTCTAATATCTATTGGGATCAATTTTTTTTCGAGAACTCACAGCATGTTCACCGTAGCCACAAAAGATATGAAAGCTGTGAATAATGAAAGTATCCTCCAGTCATGACAGAAATAGACGATGGGTGGGTAAATGATGAAATTTGGTGACCATGTCACGATAGTGTTGATCCACATACGATGACGTTTTGGTATATTCTCAATCAAGTAAACTCCTTGAACACTGAAAAATGTGAGTGATTCTCTGTGTTGTGTTAGTGTCTGATCAGTTGTTTCCTCGTATGATCTGCCCTCGCTGAGGCGCCTGCAGCCTCATTGCGCGGGAAATAAGCGCTATAAAAGGCGCTCGCTGTTAGCTATTGTCAGTTCGTCTGTTCACTCATCTGCCTCTCTTATTTTGCTGTTCTACTATTTTCTAATAAATATTTTATTTTCCTCGTGTGCCGCCCAACGGACGAAGGTACGAAGGAGTGTCCGAATCCAAAGGACACAACACTCTGTAACCTAGAAAGAATGTGTTTCAGCAGTTTGTGGCAAATTTCAAATTTTTTCATAAAGTCAATCAACTGTTCGGAGAGGACTGCCCAAAGCTTGCGATGGATAAAACAAAACACTAGAATCTATTTTGCAATTTTAATATTAATAAGTTTTGAAAACTATGCCAACGATAGTTAGAGGGTCTCGCAAATTTTTCTACCTGCAATCAACATACTGCTGCCTATCCACGAAAGCACAGATTATAGGAACTTGGAGTTTTCCGAGTCAGACGATGTTGAAGAGTAGTAATTAATGAACTATGCAAAAAATAGCATGTCAAGAAATGTTTTTTTTTGCCATACGCTGGAAAAGTCAAAATGTGGAGTCGAGGCTTCGGTTTACAAAAGACTGGTCTTTTCGAAAAATTGGGTCTTCATATCTACATAGCATTTGAGAATGAAGATAGCGGAATTAGGAAATTTGCTGGATTATAGTTGGTGATGAAGGATACATGTACAAACATTACAGCGACTTGATACTGTATGATCTAATTAAGAACTTTGAAGTTTTTGAAAACAGCCATCTAACTTATTATCTCGCAAAGTCTCGAAAACGAATAGGTTCTCATTAAATGGTAAGGAATGCTGTTGCTTATGTGAGATTCGTCAGGGTGCAGGCGTGAAAACTAGATGTTATTCAAGCTGACTAGGCTTAACAAATCATCGGAAATATTTCACAAAAATATATTATTCGGATTTCCTGCCAAACCGTACACTCTTTACAGTTCCATTTTGTTATATTAAAAACGCAAACTTACGCGCTTAACCCGCCTGTGAATAGTCCGACGAGAACTCGTAAAACGGTGAATTGAAGAAAATTGAACACGAATGCTGTAGCTAATGAGAAGAAGCTCACACCGATAAGTGATACGATCAGCACCTGAAACAAAATCAACACAATTCTGAGGGGTTTCTAATCTTACTTCGTTATATTTTATATAGCTTGCAGAACTTGATGCTCAGCTTTTGCATTAGCTGCTTTATAGTGCACTTGGAGTCTGGCAAAATCACAGACCAAGTTGCAAATGCATTTCTGTAGAGCCTGATATTCTAGTATGTAACTGATTTTACTTCAAAAAGTAAACCTACCTTTTTCCTACCATATCGATCACTGAGTTGACCGGAGATCAGAGCACCGAACAAAACGCCAATCATCTGCAGCGAGATACTGTATTTGACGAGATAACTTTCTCCACATAAGAGATCGAACTGAAACAATTTCGCTACAAAATGTAGTTTGAAAAACTTTATACTTGGCACATTGCAGTAGGGTTACTTGATGTTACAAGTTTGCATTGAATTAGTTATAATATGATTAATGTGGTAAGGGCTGCAAAATTCACCTCAACATTTACAGATTTGAACTGGTATTCGATTACAGGTTCACAGTTAAAAGCTTTACGTAAAGCGGATAGGTTTTCACAAGCTTCAGCAGAGGAGTTGAACACCACAGAGCCACATCCAGTTACGGTAGGAGATATACCTGAATTCATAAACTGCAGTGTATAAACTTGGATTTGCCTAAAAAATTAGTCCTACGAAAAGAATTTGTCAAGCTAAGCGGACCCAAGTTCCTATCAGCGTATTCGATTATGTGCTTTTGAAATCTTGAGCTATCTAATAGGAGAATTGGATAGCGAATGCGAAAATCAACAAAATGATGGAAAAGCAACATTCTTTCAACAATTTCACGAGGAGTGGGCCAGAAAAATTGGAAAATTAGACTAGAAAAAGCGCACTGTTAAGCGATCGAATTCTTTCTATACTTACAACATACTGCGCAAAAAAAGAGGCCCTTGTTAAAGTGTGAAAATAGGCAATTCAAAAACATAGTAGATACCTGCATAGACCATATAAACCATACTAGACAGAGATGTCAACGTCATGAATTCAGCTGAGAAAAGAACCAATGTGCAATACCATCCCAGTGTGATGAACTCATCAAGGTTTCTCACCTGTAAAATGGAGAAAACATAAATAAAGAGGAATACGCGTTAATCCATAAGAATATACCGGATAAGTATGGAATATTCTGCCAACAAACCTGTTTCTCTTCCTCGAAGGGTTCACAAAGTTTTTGCTGCTCAGCTTCCTCATCCTTGCTCGCCATGTGAACGCTCTATGAATATATCTCAAAATCAGAGCAGAAAAGGTCATTGAAAGTATGATCGGTGCTAGTTTGATATAGGAAAAAGCAACCAAAAAATAGCATTTCAAAAAAGTACCGATTGCTTTTACTCCAGTTTTTATTTGTAAGAGAAAAAGCCCATTTCTGACGTGGAGCAAAAGAAAAGAGAATGTTTCAAGAGAGAAGTTAAAATTAAGGAGTAGATGTACGATTATCGAATATCTATGAAAGTGAATGTTGAAAATTTCAGAAAGCAAGTATTCAAAATTTGTCGGCTTTGAATTTTTTTTTACTTTAGCTCTGAAAACGATAATTCTCTAAGTTTATTCTAGGTCATTGAACTTGCAACTGGCGTAGATATGATGCCATGAATCCATATCATTTTTTTCACTCTGCGCATGGATGGAATGGGGTTTGTTTGTGCGCAGTGGGAAACAAAAAATAGGTGTACGCACTTTCTTCATAACAACAGATAGACATAGAGCGAAACCACGAAAAATGATGTTTGAGAGCATAAGTCATTTGGATTCCATCTATCGTTACTCCTTCAATCCTATGTGATGCATGTTACGAAGTCATTTGCAATTTTTTGAGTCAAGAACAGTTGGCCAGGGCTCGGCACGAGGTGGCTAGTTGAAAATGCAAAAACGAAGTCCCCCTTGACCTTTGGGAATTTTTACGAAGTTCCTTTGACCCTAGACCATTCCCTTAAAAATCCCCAAAAAATGAAACGCCAAAAAAACGTTACAAATTTTGTGTCTTTTCGGCCATAAAAACGAAACCCCATTTGCTTTTCGTACCCAAAACGATACCCAGCTTGCTTGCAAGCCACCTGTGCCGAGCCCTGAGTGTAGCGGTATGGCCGAATAGTGTTTGGGAGCTTTACGGTAGCATGCGGTAGTTTTGCAAATGATCTGCGTTGTTTCAATTCTAGCCAATGTGCTAATGTATTTAACTCAATGTAGCAAACTTTAGCCCAATGCTCTTTAGTATTTACTCTGAATTTTGAATTTTTTTATGCATTTATTGTTGGTGCATATTGCGATAGCTTGATTTGTTGGCATAACTACATCAAGAAAATAAAAGTTCAAAAATCCCAAAATGACGGGCAGGGATCGGCACAGGTGGCTTCTAAGCAAGCAGGATATCGTTTTCCGGACATAAGGCAGAGTGGATATCATTTTCTAGGTCCGCAATTGGGTTTTCTCTTCTAGTCGAGGTCCCGTTTTTCAGTCGATCTGGATATTTCGGATAAAGGGTCAAAGGGGACTTCGTAGAATATTGCGAAAGTTAGGGTGTATCTTGTTTCTGGCATTTTCGGAAAGCCACCTGTGTCGAGCCCTGAACGGGTACCGTGCACGAAACAACCTATAGCTCTCTCTTTTAGTGCACATATGCTATCTAACATAAATATTATACCGTCAGCGAAGGAACACAAAATCTCTGTAGTATTATCAATAATAATGTTATAGTCTTCAAAATTTTCTCCGGGTTTCTATTGAGTTCTTCAAATCACACACCCTCTTGATTCAAAGTCCATGCGAAAGGGCCGTTGCCAACTTTCTAGTTTCTATTAGAATGGTTCGAAAGTTTGTTCGCATCATTTTCACAAAGTCATAACTTTTACCTTATTAAAGAAATTGAACAATAATAACTCTATCGAAAAGAGGAGATCATGCGCACTCAAATAAAATTCTAAAAACTCTGTGAAAAGCTAATATTGCAGTGATAAAAGATGTAGAAAATTTTGTTTTTCTGTATAGAGTTGCCAAAAATCTGACCCTTGAACAACTAATCGGAACATTTGGTGCTGTAAGTTTTATTAAATGCTCTTTCTATCTTAGAAATTTTGTGCCGAGCGAGCGTTTCTATCAGAGGTTGAAAGATCCGAGAAAAATGGCAGAAAAATGAATTTGCATTTTGTACTGCTTACTTGAAAATTACATTTTTTATAAAAAAGCTCTACCAACATAATTTTTGCTTAGATGAGCAGGTCATAAAACCTGCTAATCGAATGTTTAGATTTTTGGCAGCCTACAGAAGAATTAAAATTGACTGATTCTCTTTACATTTTCTATCTCTGCAATGCTTGCGTATAAGTCATTCAAACGCTAAGGTATTGATCTAGATAAAGTTAGAATCATGCATTTCTTCTGAAAATGTAAGACGTTATGAATTTTTCGAGGATGGTGCAAGCGAACATTCGGGTCAACCTAATAGCATGTGGGCATGAGATAAGGGCATTAAGAAGGAGTTGAGTAAGTAACAGAGTCGAAGACTGATAATTTTTGGCAAGTTATCTCAAATAACCTCAAAAACAAAGCTGTGCAGACGATTTCGATTGCAAAGAGATATGATTGGAATTGTACTTTAGCAGGAGATACTTTACAAAAATCACTCGTTGTGAGAATGCAAGAACAACGATGGGCGAATGATCGCGAGACGCCGAAACTTCTACCACGAATTTGTACTTTTAGTGAGAAAAAAGGAGAAGTTTTGCACTGATTACGTAGCTACCGAGTGTTGCTACATGCAAGTATTTAAGTACAGAATTTTTACAAAATTTTAAAACCTCTTGTAACTTGCCATAAACTATATGAACAGTACGGAGGCTCAAGTAAATGAGAGGGCCTGTTTGAGCCAATGAACTTTTCGCCCACATGAAAAAAAAACTTGTGCACGAACGCAGACAAAAACAAATGAATAGCAAACATGAGTAAGAAGCATACTTTCCGAAAACAAACTCCAAAACAAGTAGACCACCCAATAGTGTATGTGTGATTGGCTCATAGTAGTGTTCAAAACTGTTTCAGCCTATCAGTACAACTTATACTGGAGGTATTTTGTGATAGTTCTCTGCGATAATACCTTGGTTATTCATATGACAACTCTTTGCTTTTGAAATACCAGAGTAGACAATTTCAAAGATACGTAAACTATTCTGAGCTACTCAAGCTAAATATTAATACTTTTCTTGCCCAGAAGATTGATAAAGTTCCTAATGTGATTGGAATACTCCTGTCGATTATAATAATTAGGAAACCATTGATTCATAAGTATAGTACCGTACCCTTGCCTGAATCTCAAAATTTGAATCACTGCAGCTTCGCCTTACTCGCTGTTATTTCTACGATTTGATGAAAGGGTTTTGGAAAGTCCTGTAACTTTCTCTGGAGTTTGATTTCCTATCAGCCTTGTAAATTCTGGCTTAAGTTTTACTTCGGAATCAGCAGATGTAATTTTTAACTGTAATTCAAATTACCCAACTTACAAGTTTTCCGCTCATATCTTTTTCATGTGAAGCTGCACAAACCTACAGCTGATGATCTTCGAATTTCGTCCTACAAATAAACGCTTCTCAAAATCTGGGTCGTTTTCGAAAAGTCACATAACAATGTGGGACCAAGTAAATCTAAAGAGATGAGTTTCATCTCCTGACAGGGACGGCATCTGTCGACATTCACCCTTTCGAAATTTGATAAAACTTTACAATTTCGAACATTTGCAAAAAATAGGTTACATTGTCTTATAGTGGTAATTATAATTATATTGCCATTTCAACTTTATTTTGACTGTCTTTTCTTGCTACATATTTACTTATTTATTTACATTATTTACATAATTATTATTTACATTATTTATATATCTATTTATTTATTCACATATACAGTACAAACGATAAATGCAAGGTGCTGTATGTGTGATTATGCTGAAACTTATTGAATTAATGAAAAAAACAATTTATAAATTCAAAATCGATAAAAACAAATTTAAAAAGAGCGTAGAGAGTAATGATCATGATGCCTACACTGTCTGGCATTGTATTTATCTCCACAAAAAATCGACGACTACGGGGTGAGCGAAGTGACAGTCGGACGTCGTCATGTTACAACAGTGCAATAAATCAGATAGGCATACGCGTAGCTGATTCGGTCACCTGCCATGAGCGCAGGTAAGAGTGTTCCTTTTATTAACGCTGATGTTTATAAAAATCATGGTACTCGATTTTAGATCAACAAATAACGAATTTGAAAAAAAAATTCAAGACGATCAAGGCATTTCCAAAAGCTTCTGACTGTTTATTAGGCATGGTAATGAGCATCTCAGTGCTAGACTGATTTTTGCCTTTTCCTATCACCTTGCCATTGTGATCATAAATCACAAAGACTATTTCCATCGCATAGAGTTAGTATAACAGTTGCTGAGCTAAAATCTGTTAGAGATTTTGGACAGCTGAAGCCAGAGCTAGAACGATCTGCTGGAAGGTCATCCCAACATACGCGTCCAATTTTCCTACTTAGGCGCTTGCGTAAAATTCAAATATTTTTTGGCAAGCTGCCAGTTAGGCTTTTAGCTTCATGGAAACTCTCAAATTTCGTTCATGAACAATACATTGATCTGGCCCAGGAAATGTCCCAGGAGGGGTACGGGGAGGGGGGGGGGAATAAAGCACGAGGACATTTTTTTTTGATTGAAAGGGCGTAGCGTCATCTACGTGCAAAAAATTTTTGGGACCCTTCTCAACTTTTGAGGTCTAATACCTGAAATTTTTCGAAATGGAGCGCCCAGACTTCCGAAAGATTATCACAAAGCCTTTGAAATTTCAAAGAATTCAAAAAAAATTTTTTTTGATTTACAATAATAAAGTCACACGCTGCCACTCTGTAATCAATTTTCAAAATTGCTTGACCCAATTTCGGGGGGGGCGGGGGGGAAGGGAGGGGGAATAGTAAAACAGTTTTCAGTTTGCAAATGATGTCGAAGTTCTGTTCAGACGAAATATTAAGACAGCGAATACTTTTCTTAGATATCCCATGATTAGACGCTCTCAAATTTTGAATTATCAGATGCGCTTTTATTCCACCAAATCTAACGCCCAGCGGGAAATTTTTTCCCATACGTATGTGTGCGCTGATTTTTGCTGAAGTTATAGGGGTTTTTTTCGAACATAGTTTTGAGTCAAATCTCACAAAATTCTACGAAGGAGATTGATTTTCATGAGTTGCCAACTACAATCACGTAAACAAGGTACCATGGTGCTTTAGGTTATGTTTGAAGGGCAAAATAATAATTTATTTCAATAGAAAGTGCATCATGTTTCTATACAAGAGCTACATAATTAGCTTGAGCTTTCGTTAGAAAAAATTCAAAAATGTATTAGACTTCTTGAGTACTACTTCTTGAGTCTTTGAACATATTTCGTTGTTATACGCGAAGTCTGTCTAGATCGGATAAATGGAAATCAACCAAGGGCAGATCCATGAAGTTAGAATTTCGTACTTCGGGAAAAATTTGGAAAGTTCCCAAGTATACCCGATGAAACTTCAACTATAAAACAAGAGAGTGATGTGTGCAATGGAAGATAGGCTACGCTGATAAAACTTCTCCTTGCACTATTTGAATCTCAAGCAAACAAACTTGATATTGACCAGTTGATGTCGAAAGGCTGATCGCAAACTTTGGCCGGAACAACATCAAGGTCGTACAATTATTGCAAAGTTGAGGTTGTAATGGTTATTAGTCTCTAGGACTCTTTTATTGTTACCAGTCGTAAGCCACCTCATAAAAGAGGACCGATATCGTTTCAGCCTTGTTAGAGTGGATGATTTTATGACTGCGGGAAGAAACCTGTTGCGCGGTAAAATTATTATTTTTTTAACGACAGCATAAAATTTAGTACTACTAGTATAATTTCAAAAGCTGGAGTGTAACGGTTGCTAATAAACTATTAGGTTGCCCCAAAAGTAAATGCCTTTTTAAAATAAACCAGACTTTTTGTTTTTCTGGCAGATTTAGAGTACCATTTGATAGAGCGAAGCAAGCTCTACAAGCCGCCGACGGTCCATCTACGCAGTAATCCAGGTAAAAAAATAAATTTTTCAACTTTAAAAATCGCATCTAATTCCCGAGAATAGCTAAGGATCTCCAACATATGAAAAGTACAGTAGACACATATGTAGTAGTAATCAAAGATGCAACTGCTGAATTTTTTTGGAGCACCGAAATTAAAGAGAAAGAATAGTTTGAAAAAAAATGCGAAAATGTCACTCTTTCGGGTTTTTTAAACTTGGCATTTCTCGTTTACCAGGGTATATACAGATAGACAAAAGATAGACAGATAAAGATAGACATGAATTTGCATTTATGTCTATCGTTTTTCGTAGACAATTCACTGAAGACAGTTGGGTTCAGCTATTGAAATCTCTATCTGATGTGAGTGCGAATTATTACTGTTTCAACATTGGTAGCTGCAGCGATTATAATTCGTTAGTATTTTTGACATTGAAGGTAGGGTCCCGCCGAAATTTTGCCTCATGTCACCTTTTTGGAACCTTTTCGTCATGCTGAACCCGTATCTAGTTTTCGCAGCTCATGAAAATGGCAAAAATGTTTCGAAGCTCTTCATGTCCTTATTTGCTGCAAAATACGTGTAAGTGGGCGGGGTACGGCACGGGAGGTGGGGTCCGAAAACTTCCAGAGTGGATTTTAGCCTTTCCAGAAGCGCTTTTTGCTCCGGACTTCAGTGATAGATTAGTTGGAAGTCTGCTATTGCAACGCTGTGAAATCCCGTTACCCTTCGTTCTGATGGGACGCTGCCTTCAAATAGTCGGACTCCACTCACCAATGCTCAAAAACCTTGAATTAGTACCCTATTTTCAACATTAAAAATTCAAATTTTCGGTCTAAAACAAAAACACACACAAAGACAACTTTTTCAAATTCGTTTGAATCCTGCAGGAAAATTTAAAGTTAAAGATTCTTCAAGGAAATTTCATTAGATTAACCTAAATTATTGACCCACCCTTTGAACGTATTCTGTTGGTGCCCCTTGAAACAAGGACTCGTCTTAATGTGTAACATTATTGTGTAGAGACACGCTATCAAACACTTGTTTATATTTTAAGAATTTCAGAGAAGGTAACTTTTTAGTCCTAATGTTGGAAAGTTCGGCATCAGTCACAGCCAGTTATTCGCTTGTAGTCGGCACACCACTGCTGATACTTCTCCTCTCCGCCATTGTCCAAGCAATGTTGAAATCGTCCCTTGTACTTTTCGAGGAAATAAGCAAGCAGCACGCGATGCACATAGAGATATTGCTAAAAAAAGAAGGTTCCGAGAAAAGTGATTTTTCAAAAAAAATTACATAAGCGTTTTGAATGGAGCATGCCCGCTGCGTTCGAATTTCTTTCAAAAGCTCACTCATTGCTTGGCAGTCTTGCTAAAACAATAAATATTCAGTCTTCTTTCGAGTAATTAGAAAAAAATTACCCCGCTCTGCATTTTCTCCTGTACATACGAGATGGCTACAATGGTTCCAGTTCTACCTATACCAGCTGAACAGTGGACAATGATGGGATAGGGAGAGTCCCGCACTTCAGCCAAAAGATTCTAAAAATAAATTATCATAACTTATAATAACGGGCTAAGGGTTGTTTGCGTGTTTTTGTGTGTGTGTGTGTCTGAATATCTGTCTGTCACGAAATTCATAGCGCGAGTTCCAGCCAACATCCTGAGCCCAAATTTTGCATAGCGCATGCTACCAGCATAAAAGCCCACCATGCGAAAGCACGAGCGGATTTGTTAGGTGGATCCCTCAAAAATTGCGCGTCAGCCGGGTCCAATTGGCTTTTGGCCCGCATAATCGGATCCGTATCACCACTTTTTGCGTTGTGGATGTGCTTGGCATCTCAATGTGCAAGCCATGGGCTTTGGTCCAAAAAAGGGATCAAAAGTCTACTACTCTACAAAAACGACGCCGAAAAAGTATTGATTGCTCGATGGTCGATTTGCCAAGGTTTTACTTAAGCATTTGAGAAGATTTTTGCACAGAGATGTGGCTCAGGGTGTTATTGTCCTTATAGCAACTACCTAGCCAGAAAAAAGTTCAAGAACTATTCAAATTTGCATTTGCTCTTCTGCGAAAAATTTCGTCCTCTCAAAATTACCGTTCTCACATGGAAAAGCTTCTTAAATAAGTAGTTGTTTACAATTTACATCGTCCGGTGAGTTTCAATGCCATCTTGAGGCATGAATGAGTAAGGCGTACAGAGTAGGACCACAGCGATCCTCTGCGAATCAGTGTAATTCGTAGCGCAAGGTGCAGCCAAGATTTCGAGTTGATTTTTTCGCTATAGCACGCCAGCATCACCCAGGTTAATTATGTAAAGAAGTGAGCGAATCTGTTTCGGTCGCTAAAAATCGCGAGTCAGGATCCACCAGGCATTTGCTAAGGCAAACGAGATCCTAATGCAAGGAGTCTGCAGTAACTGTAAGACTTTCAACTTGGACATCTTCTAAGCCCTGGAATTCAGCGCAGATACATAGCAAAAAGATAATTTCGTGCAAAAGTGGCGTCAAAAAGAGATGTCAATTGATTATTGATTTTCAAAGACTCACTGTATAGCTGGAAATATTCTAGGCTGGAAATGTAGTGCGCATCTGTTGTTGTTCTAATTAGCCAACATCGCATTGATGGAACGGATTCAAAATTACACTAACCGTTCGCCAAAAAGTATCGCTACGCTAATTTTACCGGTTTCACATGAAATCCTCGCAGAATGAATGGTTGTTTACATCATATTCTTCACGATCAGAATTTTCCGGGGAGGTTCAAAGCAATTTGAGAGATGAGGCAGGGCGCTGTTTAGCTCTGAGGACAAGCATGGACACGCAGACCCGCACGGCACGATATTCATGGGGTGCATAGAGCCAGTACCTGCTGTGGGCGTGCCACACTTTGCCTTCCTTAAGAGAAGATGTGCTCAAAAACTATAGAGTAGGACCAGTGCGAGCCTCTGCGAAGCAGAGGTGGCGCACTGGTTATTTAATAAGACGTAGACCATCAGAGAATAATTTTGGAGAGTCAATGATTGAGGGGAGCATTTAGTAAAACCGCTGTATCCATTCAAATATTTCTAAAAAAGATAAGAGGATTTAAAGCGTCGAAGGGGAAAAAATTGATTATATCAGAAAATTCAAAGTTGCCTTCAATTTTTACCTCAATTTAAAGTTGGACGTATTAGATCTGCTTTGAAACGACTTCATTTTTTGATTTATGCTCAATGCGGTTACGGTAAAACTATTTCATCAACGAATAAGAAGCATCCTTTTTTTCTTAGGACCCAACAAGGACCTAGAACTCACGATTGGGGCGAGTTTTGTAGGCGGTACGCCCCGATCTGGCCAGTTCTCCCATTGGTAATGGTATACATTCTTTGATGCTTTGTGTCCATTCTCTTTGTAGCTTAGTTTAAGCGTGCTTACTCGTATAAAGTTCTCCTCTTCAGACATTGGATGTGCCTGGATAGTTAAAGTAGATTTGTAACAGTTTTTACAAAAAATTATCACCTCCATTGAGGTTACTGTAATTTTGCCTTCATTATCTTCACCAAACACCATGGAATCGCCAACCTCATATGGCCAGTATTGTTCGCATTTTTTCTTATCCTAAAGTGAAGTTACATGCGAAAAAGAAGTTTATAGACTCTAACTTACGCATTCTACAGTATTACATAGCATTAGAACATAGTCGCTTTTCTCTTGTATAACCATCGCCCAAAATGCTTGCATTGTGTTAGTAAGCGGTCCCTTAAATAAGCATATTTTACAGATTCAAGTAAAGCAGAATCGCTGCAGATGGGAATTTAGATTGGGAAAGATACTCAAAAACTGAACGAAAATCTGGCAACAACAAAGTGGTAAAAAGACTCCAAAACCCAGAGGTTCCCTTATATTTCAACGACATAGAGGACATCTTCCTTCCTCACCATGACCCGGAAGATGTCATTCAGCTCACAGTAACCATTTCTGCACAAGGTTTCGTATTGTTGACATTTATTGACTTTACAGACTTCTCCATAGCTTACTTTTTCTATTTCAAGGGAATTTAAGTGTTTGAATTCTTCTGCATTGCTGCACATAGGAAGTAGAAGACGTGTACCTGTGTACAGATGAAATGATGATCTTTGCTCGGAGTTGCAACATAGTTGGCGTGGATATAGTCGTTATCTATTCCTGGCCATTTTAGTATCACTCGACGAGCGTCCTGGCAGGGTACATCGACATACCTGAAGAAAGAAATTCAAGTGTTCAGTAATTGAATGAAATTTGTGCACAAATAAAAAAACGATAACGAAACAAATTTCGCAAGTAAGAACCGTAGAATGAGGTCGAAGCACACGTATTCTGTTTGTAATCATACATTTTGCATGGCGTTACACCAGTGAAGTATTCACATCTTCTTCAAATCACCTGTTAAGAGGTCTGTTTTCAAGAAACGCTTTCATGGTCATATTTTCCGGTTTCCATTTGCTAAGATCTCGAAATTCTTCAATCAGTCTTGGTGCGCCTTCATCTAACACACGATTGACCCATATACTTACCTAAACTCGGAGATGATAATGACCACTACCAAGAAAAGCGTTTTTGGTCGTAGCGGCCTTTCCACGAGAAAAGCACAAATTTGGAGAGCATTGAAAGATGATTCCAAATCTGTTTCTATACTCTGCCAAGCGCTTCCACAAATCGAGTTGTAAGCGTTTTTTATTTAAGATTTTAGCCGCAAGATTGGTACAGAATTGTCCAAAATTTCTGGAATGGTCCAGTGTTAAATATTAGAGCACTTTATTGGATGGCACCTCCTGTCTAATCACTCATATTCAACCCCGCTCTATGCTGGATGGTCTGTAACAATCGTGACTAAATTCTGCTTCGTTTTTGATTCCAAAACGAGCTCATTATCTTAATGCTCAGAAGTTCGAGCCAGCTTTAAACACTCTTCAAAGTGTTTGAAGAGTATTTAAATCATTTGAAAAAGTCACTTCCACTAAAAACAATGTTCGTGTAAGGCCTGGGACATCGTTCAAGCGAATGTGTGGCCTGGGGATTCTCAGACAACTGTTACAAGTTCAATACATCTCGATCATCTTGCATTTCGGTTGTGATAGCTAGTCATGATTGGTCGCGACGATTATCACAACCGAGAAGGAGGATCATGCGATGGACTCATGACAGTTGCCTTATTGGGAGAATCGCAAGACGATGAAATCGTTTGAACTAGGCGAGGCCAAGTGGCATTCCGTGTATGAAAGCCTCGCATTCAAATTGATTGTCTATCGGGTGTATTGAGGGTAAATAATGGAAGAATGTAATGATGAAATGAAATTAGTCTTTGTCATTGTCTGTCATCTTTTCAAGAAAAACAATTTTTTGAAGAAAGAAGGAAACCGTTTCTTGTTTAAATGTTTTTGTAATTCGAACTAAATCTCTTATTTCTGCTTGAATTTGGTCATTGATTTTATACAGTGTTTGGATAGTTTGTTCTCGTAAACTTGACGTTTGGTTTTAGTGCTCCAAAGTACTCTCAAATCTACCTTTAACTTCTTTTAGAATGCACTTTAGCAAATTTATTGTACTCCAATAATATTCTATTCTGCTGAATAGACTAATACTTATCCCGTGCGTATGATGTATATAGCTAGAAACAAAAAGTGAGAGTTATAGGTGATTCTGAAAATACTTAAGGCAATTTTTTTGTTTACTGCATACCTGAAGTGGTTAAGAAACGAGGAATACGAGTTCCTAGAGCTCGCAGCTATCCCGTCGTATGCCCCACTTCACAACTCCCTTTTTGGCGTTATGAATGTGCGCCGCGGCAGTATCTCTATCCCTCCTCTTCCTCCAGCTCATGCTTTCATCCGGAAATGGCTCTTACGAGACAAGTTACGGGTCTTGGTATTGCTTTTGGCGTAAGCATTTATGTCAACTCACCATGTCAAAAACTCGCTTTTTATTCGCTGTGCTTTTGAAGCTACTAGATCTTCGTCCTCTGTCTCGCATAAATTTGGGTGATTTGGGGGAGACAGCAAGATTACCGTCATTTACTACAATCTCTCCTTGTTGCTCAACTTGATCTAAAATATCACTAGAATACTAAGAGGATAGAAACAGATGACAAGAAATGTTGCTGGTGACCATTACCATGCAGCATATTTTCTAGCACCAGCGCTGCTTTCGAAGACTTCTGTTCTCCAACGGGTAGTTTGTTGAAGCTATCCGCATCGTTTACATCGTTATGTCGACTAAAACCATTAGAGCGATCACTTCTTCTTTTCCTACAAATATATGCGCATAGTGGTTGAAAGCAAATCATAGTAATCGTTATATCGACTATGGTTGCTTTCGCTTCTCTACTTAATGAAATCAAATTAATCTTATATATAAAGCTGAATGTCTGTTTGTCTGTCTATCTGTATGTCTGTCTGTCTGTATGTCTGTACGTATGTTTCGAATAGTAAATTCCATTTCTGAACCGATCCGGACCAAACTTGGCACACATACACTACGGGCCCCGGCGAGTGTCATAGGCTACTTTTCGTCATCGATCGATATCGATTTTATCGATTTTTTGCAAAATTTGAGCTACGGGGCTGGGAGTTGGCACAGGGGGGTAATCGAGCATGCTGATCACCCCCGTGAGGGAATTTTCTATTCGGAACATACGGCGGAGCCGGGTAAGCCAGCTAGTTGTGTTATATTTAGAACTAGCCGGCTTGCTCCACTGAGTCCCTGTCGTTGCTGTGGCCAAAATCAATCACTGCCAATTTTACACACTGGTTCGCCCTCTTGCCGAAATTTTGGTAGTGAATGAAAGCGCTGGTCTACATGGGTTCCAGATGATCATAACTTATAATAACGGGCTAAGAGTGCTTACGTTTGTCTGTCTGTCTGTGTATGTGAATCTCTGTCTGTTACGAAATTCGTAGAGCGTGTTCCAGCCAACGTCCTGAGCCCAAATTTTGCATAGCGCACGCTATCAGCATGAAAGCTCACTATACAAAAGCATGAGCGGATCCGTTGAGTGGATCAATTGGAAATTGCGCGTCAAACGGATCCACTTAACTTTTGGCCAGCAAATTTGGGTCCGTAGTACTACTTTTTGCAGAGTTAAGGATATATTTGACAAGCTAATGTGCAAGCCATGGACGTTAGCCCAAAAAAGTAATGAAAAGTCTACTACTCTACGAAAACAGCGCCAAAAAGCATTCGCTGTGTAAACGGTCAATTTTTCAAGATTTTACCTGAACATTTGAGAATATTTTTGCACAGAGATGTAGCCCACTATGTTTATTGTCCTTACGGCGACTACAAGCCATAAAAATTCCAAAAACCTATTCGAATTTGCATCTGTTCTTCTGGGGAAGATTTTATCCACGCGAAAATACCGATCTCACATGGAAAACCTCTACAAATGAGTAGTTGTTTACGAATTATTCGTGATAGCCTACATAGCGCGGTGAGTTTCAATGTCACTATTAGGCGGGAATGAGTAAGGCATACAGAAAATATGGCCAGTGCGAGCCTCTGCGAAGCAGAGGTGACGCACTGGTGATAAATAAGACTTAAGCTTTCTTGCAATTAACCGTAACGCATGGATGACACCACTGTATGAAATACATAGCGGTTTGCTCATCACCACAAAGAATCCTACCGGACCGAGCTTGGCCCAAATCTGCGGTTTCGGCCTGTCTAGCATACCGCTTCATGATACGCGGTAGAACATGAGTAGCATTTTTGTCATCTGCACGCAAAAAAACCCCCAGTAAGTTTCACTTGGTTCTGACTTCCGCTCATCTACACTGAACAAACCTATCGTAACCGCGGCATAGTCGCCGCAAGTGTAAAGTGTGAGGTGTTTACGGTTAACGCGCCGAAATAAGCCCCTGAGCAAAATCTGACTTTTTCCAGTTTTCGTGCTAATCAGCCCATACCCTCCCTCATGCTAGTCTGAAAGAACGGTATTTCGTAGCTCTTTTTAGCGAAACTAACTGTCCCCTTTTTTGAAGCACTAGTCCTCTTTCTCAAGATTTCGAAACTCCGAAGTTAACTTAACCTAAAGCTGACGCGAGCTCGGCTGTGCCTTTGAATCCTGCTCAATCTGTACAATGACTTGCGCTACGTTTTTTTGTTAGTAAAAATTATCTTATACGAAGTACTCCTGGCCTACTGTCGTTCCTCAAAAAACAGTTCAGACACATTCTAGTGGTCCCTAAAAGGTTGTGATTAACACGTCGACGACAGCGTACATTTCTAATTGTCTGCCTCGTGGGACAATGCCTTTCACGGATAAGTCAAAAATTTCCAGCTAAAATCATGCAGTTCGTCAACTACGTCAACATCGTAGTATACCTACTGTAATTCTATAAAGCGGATGAGAAACGAAAAAGTATTTTCTAGGGTCAGAGCGTAAGAGAACTTCTGAAACGAATGTAGTCCAAGATAGCAGTCATTTTAGCAAAACTTGAGCCGTGACCCACCATGTGGGCCACGTTGTCGTCAATTTGTTAATTTGAGCTGGCATGATATCCACGAAAGTCCATAATGGAGGAAAATGGACTTCCAAACCCCATTTTATTCGTTCGCAGTAGAAACTGGTCGGAATCTACTTTCGCTAGCGTTATCCAAAAATTTTTATCTCATCGCAACCACGAAGCAAAGCGGCGTGATGAAAATGATTCAACGCTACTTGAGCTCTCGCTTGCGAAAAAATCATGCGAAAAGTCCATTTAGAATGGGGCAAAATGAGACTTACCTCCATTTTAAATGGACTTGAAAGCCCATTTTACTCCCAGCAGCAAGGTGAGCTGGGAGTAAGCCCATTTTTGACCTTTTTGCATATTTTTGATGGCGATTTTTTGAGAATGTGTTCCTCAGCTCATTCTGAGGTACCAAGTGAGTGAAAAAAGTTTAATGTCTTTTATGATGTCTGAAATAAGTGTTTCTTTCTAAACTTATACAAACGCTATAAAAATCATGGAAGAGGGTTAAATTCACCAAAATATTCGCTAACAAGCTCAAATGCTTCCAAATATCAGGTCGATGCGAAAATTCCTATGTAAATTAGATCATCAACCAAAACTAAATTCATGATCTGTATTTACAAACAAAAAAAATTTGCGTTTCAATATAATTACTCAGAAGCTATCTTTTGACTAATTTCGCAGAACCGAACCTCAAAGAGGCCTTCATGAACGTATTTTGAGTTTGGTTGCAAGGATAACTGAAGGCCGCTAGCTAGCAAGGAAAATTCTGTGAAAAATTTTTTACTAGCAATAGTCCATACATTCAACTACTTAGAGATATAAATATTAATGCTGAAAGACAAAGAAGAACTAAAGTAGAACATTTGCGAAGTCATCCTTTGCGACTCGTAGTTTTCCGATTTAAAGAACCCTTTGGGTTGTAGGGCAGGGTTTCCTACGAGATAAGCATTTTGCTTCACAGATTGCAGTGCAAGTCTAGCCAAAGTTTGCTTTCCCCAGCAAGCTCTACATACGAATTTGACTCAAAGCAGATCCATAGAAGTCTTGAGAAGCGAAGGCCGGATTTTATATGAATTCTATTCTTGAAGATGTTTTCGATGCATAGCTATCGATAACAAATGGCATTTTTTGATGTATAATGAAAAGTGAAAGCATAGAATATCCATGTGACTGTCATCGTAATGTTAGGTCAGCCCTAGTTAGATACCGACCACTTGGTAGAAATGAGTTTGCAAGTGTGAGTAAACAGGTTGAGGTAAGTTGGAGAAAGGTTTGCTGAAGAATTTTGTATGCAATGAATGGATTCGCGAATGTGATATCTTATCGCACCGCATGGACTAAGTCCATTTTATTCGCACGAAAAGCCCATTTCGCGGGGACTTTCGTGGATATCATTCCTGATTTTGACGAGTATAGGATACTGATTTGCACTAGCATTAGTAAGAGATGTGCATCGTTATGGCCCCTCGAGACACTGAACGTAACTGCTATAATCTGCGAAACGTTTCTCGGAAAGAAGTTATGGACCCCGGATCTATAGGTTTTGCCCTGTCTACCGTCGAATCGAATATGACTAATGACGCATAGAAACGCTGGTAGTGCAGCTAGGAGAGCAGCTGGCTTTAAACTTTGAAGGGCGGGGATCAAATCCTCTGGGTACGCTTTTTATTGCCAAATTTCCTTACTTTATCTGATAATGTATACTTATATGAAGCTGCATGTAAGTTGTTAGTTAGTGTGTTTATTATAGAAATCTTTGTATGCCACACACATATTTGCGACAAAGGTCCACCCCATAAGCTATGATCGCCTCCACGATACGTGTAGAGGCGGAGTGCGGACTTTCTCCGATTCTAAGGATAAACTTGTTGAATCTCCACGTCATAACATTGTTTTGTTACTCTCTCGCTATTAAAAACCGCCATGCTTTGAGTTGGCAAAACCCAGCCTCTACACAATTCGTGGAGTCGATGATATTTTTCGCAGCGAAGTTCTCACTCCTTCTAAAAAATGAATTCTTATCAACCGCTATCAGCCTACTTTCAATTTTGTGAATACAATAGTGGTAGACCTCATCTACATTTCACGATGTGGGAGAGCGGTTTGAAGGCAATGGGTCATTTGGCATCTATCCTGCGCTACTCGAGAAACAGAAAAAAGCCAAGCAGATAAGTTGGGCCTTCAAAGTTGCGCACCATATCTGTTTATGTTAAACCAATTAAGTTCAGGTCTGGGCTTGCCAGCTAGTCAAAATCATTTAGCGAACATCCTTGATTTTCGACATTATCGCGTTTCGAAACCCATTAATGCCGTAGTAACGATGCACAATCACTCAAATTCGCCCGTACACAGAACAAGACCAGGAGATCCAGGGGTAAGTAACTTCTTTTATCAGTGCACCGAAGGGTCGTTGACATACATCTCTTTGTTGAACGCCAGTGCGACTCGAGTATCCTTCCCTTGTAAGTTTCAGCTGCGAGTTTCGACAGATTACTAGCAACCCTGATCTTCTGCTTCTTTGCCTTTCAAAGTTACCAAGTTCACAAGAGAAGTTTTGAAATGGTCAGCTTTACGTTTCATCCGTGATGAGCATTGGTCAGTGTGTTTCAAACCAGAGTTTACCGCAGGCGAGTACGGAAGGCATACGTGTAGTAGAACCAGTGCGAGCTTTTGCAAAGCAGAGGTGACGCATTGTAGAAAGCGAGCCGGTTAACGGACATCTAGCAGAAACTAAGTTTCAGGATTTTCATCGTCAGATCTATTCGCCGTGATTACTTTTCTTTTGAGCATCTTTCGACGGTAACGTTAAGTGAAAGTTGCTGCATTCTGTGCCGTATCTTTGGTACAAATAGAAGCATCAATTTCAAAGAGAGCTATTTACGATTAGAAACTCTAAGCGTCTCTCATTTCATCAAAAGAATAGTGCAACTGTTGGGTGCGTGATTGAAAATTTTCGAAAAGTTCGTTAGTTGTAGTACTTCGAATGCACGCGCACTGCTGCGTCGCAAGCTACTTGTCTACACTCAAGTTCTTCATTTAATCACTTCTGTAGAAAATGAGACGACCAGCAGCACTTACCGTTTTGGTATACACATTAGCACGTATATTGTCTATAAGGCAAGCAGCCACACTATAATGGATGAATAAAGTGAATGAACATAGCCAAGTTTTACTACATCAGAAACTATAAACAATCAATTGATCTGGTTGGTGAGCAGCTCACGAGCAATGACCATAAACATCGATCACGTTCATAGCAAGGTTGTGGGTCAAAATTTGGCATAAAAGGTAAGAGCGTCAGTAGCTGCTCTCAATGGCTAATGGCCTTTGTTAAACGTCAGCAAACTCACGGCGGTCCGGTGTGGCTCAACTCTACTCTCGTTATTTATTTGTTCGAATCCACGGGATTTTTTTTATTAATACGGAAGTTGCAACAGGAGGAGTCTGTTTGAAAAGAAGAACTGCATAAAATGATGTTTATTACATTGTGATTGTGTTAGGGTAATGGCCTTGCAGTGAACGAGGTTATTGTTTGGTCTGCTTAGTCGAGCCGCTAACATTCGTGGAATAACGGAAGTTATAGTCCCCTCCGCAGATCGTGCTACCCCCTTGGTCTGCGTCTCAGACCTGCCACGTATGGCTAAACATGTTGGCAACATGGCAACAACATGTTTGCAACGTGCCACAACATGTTGGCAGAACATTTTGGCCACGCCAACATGTTCTGCCAACTGCTGCATGTTGCCAACGTGTTGCTGCAAACGTTGCCAATGTGTTAGTCACACGTGGCACTTCCGCGACGCCACAGAGGGTAGCACGATCTGTGGAGGGGACGATAAACGTGATGGGAACGTGAGAATAATCGCAAAAATACTTTTGCTTATTGTGACGAATAGTACAAAAAAGTAGAACGGAGACGTGAACCACTAATGGTCCTAACTAGCAGTACGGCCATTTCCACTATAATTTGTGGAAGCTATGCAAACTGCCCCATGAAAAGCGGGTGCTTGTTCTTAGTCAGTATAAACATAAATGGATGATCGGCAAAGAACTGCTTTGGCTGCTCCATTGTGCTACCAGCAAGCATAACCATCGTTGTGGCCGCCGCAGCAGTTGTACCATTTTCGTCAACCTTAGACAAATAAGTTTCAATTTCAGTCGTACAAATAAAATCTTTTATTCGTTACCTCAATGAGAGCTTTGTGAGCAGCGTCTGAAACCCTTAGTGGTGCCGTGCTAGTTATACCACTAAGATCGGAGTTCGGACTGAACATTTCAGTAGCTCCCATATCGATCAGTGCTTCCTTGAGCTTGTAATCATTCTCAATTCTCATTTTCGGAATTCTGATCTGAAGCAGGAGAATTTAACAAGCGTCACTCATCTGCTCAGAAGTAATTTGCAGCTGAGCGTGATCTTCAAGTTCAGAGGCTTGCATTTGCGGAAATTTGAGGTGACGTAATTACAAATTTTTTGTGGAATGGATATTTTTCGTAAGTCTATCATTCACCGCCTGCGCATAAGAGTTCTCTCGCGATCGATAAAAATAACAATTTTGAAAGCTCAGCTGGTCTGATTCATGGCATTTTGAGTACCCTTCAGATTTCAGAATTATTTATGACACATTGTGTTCGGTTTAGTTCATGGAATAATCTTCTAGCAAAATTTTCTTGCTTCAAAGCAAGCCTACAAGCCTGCCTGATGGCCATAAGACATCGGGTACGCCAAGTTTGAAGCCGACGTATGCAAGACACTATTGGATTTTTTCAAAACATAGAATCTCTGCCAAAAATTTGCAAAGATTTTGATGTAGTAGACGAGTACGGACATCCCTTCAGGGCTTACCAATTGCAAAGTCGGATGCATCAACATCTCTGCTCTTGCGTATTCGCTTGGACTCCGCGCCTCTGTCGCGAACATGTTCTCCCGTCATTTTCGCACATTTAATCCGCGACTGAAGCTCTGCCTTTCCCGCGCTCCTGGTAGGAAAGTAATAAGAAAGCGTGTTCGCGAAAGATGTGCAGAGCCCAGGCGAGACTGCCGCGCGGGACCGGTGATGCAGGTGCACCCGACTCCGCAGTTGATAAGCTCTCTGCAGCCGCCGAATTTTTTTTTTTGTTCTAGAAATAAGTAAAATGATGGCCGAATTTTGATAAGTCATCGTACGTCGTGTACTGCAAACTTTTTTGTGATCCAATCATAAAAATCACATCCTTGAATATATGACAAACACGATTTAACGAAAGCCCGAGCCATCTTTGCTTGGAAACTGGGAATACTATTATATTCACGTTCACGCTTGATCTAATAAGCTTTGTGAGATTTTTAAGAGGAATCCGTTCAGAGTTCGGCACAACTTGGGACCAGCGAGTTTCTAACAAATTTCCCTGTGTTTCAATAAGTTTGCCAAGTCCCTTCAACTTTCACCAATCCCACTTGTTTTTTATTCCTCCCTCCAACGAACTTATCCTTGCCTCATACTCCCGCTTTTCGTCTCCCTCTCTCTACTCGGCTCCTACCTGCCAACCCCCTCCTCTTCAGCAAATGACAAAACATGTGTAACATGACGACAAAAGAAAACGAGAAATGGGAAGAGAAAGGGAAGAATAATGTTACCGAACAACCGGCAAAAATGAAACTTTTGCGCATTCAATCACTTCGAGCGCGTTCTGCGATCGAAGCAGATTGCCTCCCTAAAAAAGTCTTGCTTGTTATAATCAGAGTGAAGATACAATCTGTGCAAAAACCGATGGAAAGTTATGTAAGGATCGGGATCGGATCCAGCTCAGCTGGCACTCGGCTAATCTTGAAAAAAGTTGCATGAATTTCCTTCATATAGAAAACTGAACATGTTCAAGCTCCTCCGCGCGCATGTGTACACCAATGGCCATAGCTTTGCGATGTTTGTCTGGAGCACCACTTTGAGTTCTCGCGCTACGTTGAATCATGCCTCCTGCACGCAGCCAACAGCCCCATAACATGCCCACTTTCGACTTTTTGAAATTAATGTACATGTGTGGAACGGATTTAATAATAAATCTTTGACGCTGTAATACCTTTTTTTCGATACTTTTTGATATGAGAACAACCCATCTCACTGATTTTTTCCCGGACCCAGCAAGAACAATATCTCTTTTGCTTTTCCTTCAAAAGCGACATCGAACTTGATTTAGTTCCAGTTGCGAGTACTAGATTTAATCCATGAGATGACGAGTAAACATTTCTGGTCTCAAATTCTGCGTGGACCACAATGCATGCAAAACTTTGATAATCACATAGAGCTCGCTCTATCTAACAAAAACTGCTTTTCTTTTTTTTTGAAGCTTAGCCTGCCTTACCAGCATGAAAATTGACAACCTTTCCTATCTAACTTACTTGTTAGTAACAAGTGTTTGTAAGAAATGATGACATAGCAAAAAAAGATACATCTCTGATTTTTTTTCAGAAATCGCATTCACGTTAGTAGGTCGATTTCAAAGGTGGGTGTGTTGTTTGAGAGTCCGTAGAGAATATACACAAACCGATAGTTTTGTGCTTGAGAGATCGGATAAGAGCTGCTGAACCTTTTCACCCGTGATATTGGCTCGTATTCCGTCAAGAGCGAATCTGAATAATAAAGTTCAAATTACTGTCGTTTTTGTCTGAGACAAAACAAAGCGTACTTTTGCTTCGGTAAGAATATATTTAAAGCAAAGGATTCATCCGTATAAGGCATTGAAAGAACTTGCATATCCTCATCTTCTGCATAGAGTCTGTATACTCCGAAGTCTCCCATAAACATTATCTAAAATAATAGGAATAAGTGAGATGAGAAAAGTCTAGAATTTGACTTAACTCTGCTAAACGTATAGGTTGATGCAAAAGTAGTGAGGATTTTTCGAGCGCAGCCGAAGTAGGAATATCAAAAATCCACGAAGTACATGAAAGAAAGCCAAGTTTTTTAGAAATATAATCCACTTCAAGTTGGGAACCAATATCAAATCAATAATCACAACAAACCTCCGCCAAAAAATATTGCAAGCCTCCCATTCAGTCATTAAATAGGAGACACAGCAAAATAAATTACTGGCCTCGCTGGCTTTCATAGTTAGAAGTTGAAGCAGTGTCACGGTAAAATTCCGCTCATAGTTTTTCACCCTCTTTGAGCCTTTTCGCCACTCATGGAGATCCGTGAAGTTTCACAATCATGGTTGCATTCTCCATGAGATCATTTTCGTATTTTAGCCTACACTGTTCGTTAAAGGTAGCGTCCCGGCAAGATGATATGCATCGGGATTTAACAGTATTGCGATGGCAGACCCCTCAACTACTGAATCAGTGAAGTCTGGAGGGAAAAGCGTGTTTGGAAAGCTTAAACTCCGCTCTGAAATCTTCCGGACTTCGCACCTTCATTGCGGATTACTTATACGTATTTTGCAGCGAATGCGGACATGAGGAGCTTTGAAAGAGCTCAATTTGGCCTTTTCATCGGCTGCAAAATACGTGTAAGTGGTCCGCAACGAAGGTATGGAGTACGGAAGACTTTCAGAGCGGAGTTTAGGCTTTCCAAAATTGCTAAAAATTGCTAAAATTCGAAAATGATCTTATATATAATAGAATACAACAATGATGTGAAACTTTACGAATCTCAATCGTAAATAAATTCCAGCAGTTCCAAATGCATAGGCACATACTTTTGTGGGTTGATGCAAGAGTGCCAAGTTGCTTACGCAAATGGTTACAATGAATTATGCGCAATCATAGCGGTGCTTAGTCGCGCGGTGATTCAATCGCATGAGGTATGGCGAAGGCCACAGGGATCTAACGCCAACTAATAGCGACACCCGCTTGTTCTGATAAGCAAACGAAGCCAGAGTATGGACTCCCTGCCTCCATCGAAAGCTTGCATATCTCTTTTCCGGGTAGGTATGGGAAAGAAGGGCTCAAAGTCGCTTCCAATAAATAAGATCCAATCGCACCTCGCGGGAGGTTTGAGCTAACAAGTCATCCCATGCGAGCAATTTGAATGTCAAACGTAGTAATAAATAGAAAGCTCGAGAAAGAGCCACTGGAAGGCACCTCCAGTAGGGACAAGGTCTGAAGGCAGCGTCCGGGCAAAAATACGCCTCTCATGTTTTCTCGTTTTAGAGCCTTTCCGCGGCCCTGGTTACAGCTATAAAGTTCAAATTGTCCAAAACCCTCAAATCCAAATCCTGCGGACCCTATTTTGAGGGCGCGGACGAGTTTCGGATTGTTTATCCCCCGGCTCGCCACAGAGGAGGGGCTGCAATGCATGGGTACAGTTGCAATCCATGATCGATCGATGTGTGAGCACACGAGGGGCGGTTTGTGATACGTATCACAGGCCCGTATCTCTTTCCAGAAGCCACGTTAAAGGATCGGACCAACGCAGATCGGATACTCATGGGGCCCGCTTTACAACTATGTGCTAATCTAGGTGGATGGATATGCCAGACCTACCTTTAAAGGGCGATCTTGGCTGTCGAGAGGGACAGATAATGATGATAACGATCTGTACTTACAGCGCAAAGACGTCCGAATTACGCATTCAGGATCTCCTGATGGAAGTTCAAATGTCCTGATGGAAGCAAGGAAGATCAGGTACAAGGTCATCGGACTGATCGAGACAAGAAGACACCATCCGTTGAAAGACACGATTGATACTGAGAAAGAACTGTTCTAGATGAGACAGAGAGAATGGGGAGTCGTGTTGATTTGGCTGTGAATAAGATTTATTCGAAAACCTAACAAACCAAATCGGACGTTCACGAATTTCAAGATATAAATCGATTTCAGCCCTGAAATTCTCCATTGCATACGCCCCAACATCAGCCGAGGATTCCCAAAAAAAAAACTTGAGGAAAGTACAAAAAAAACACATGTTTCAAGCCCATTGCCAGTGACTTCAACGTGAAGTTCGGAGAAAGTCGCCTGCGAAGCTTTCATCGGGAGCGGCAGTGGAATGGGGAAAGGGGAAAGCTATCCTAGTTTATCATGACGATGATGACGATGAGGACCATATATCAAAAGCAGCTTCAAAATCTCTTTACGTTGTACCTGCAGTCACTCGATAGAAGTTACTATAATGAAACTGATCGTCGTCAACAGAACGTATCGCCTGGACGTCGATGTTGCCGAAATTCTACACGGAATGACCATCGCCTCTATAGTGCCAGATTCTACTTTCCACAGAATGGAGGAAGAGCTTGAAAATCAGGATACACCGCCCAACGACTATCATCATCTAAATCTGTTTTCTTCGATATCCGGCTTTTGGCGAGATACCATGATCCGCAGCATAGACGAGGAATACAAATAATTTATCCAGCATTTTCACCATTGTACTAAGAAAGATGACAGTCTAGAAAGTATGAGAAAGCATTTGTCAACCGAGACAGTAAAGTTGAGAAAAGAGTATAAGAGTGGTTGACGTCAAACGAAGCAGGAAGAAGTATACGCAACGCCTGCAGAAGCATCGTCATCAAGACCAAGATGACCGCACTTTGTTTCTTAACGCCCAGATTATCTCGAGTCTCGCGTTACTTCTAATTAGACTCCGATAAAGCTCATCACGTTGTACCTGACAGAGGGCAAGGTTTTGAATCAGTGAAAAAAGGCAAAACCGTGTTGTTGAATAAGAAGGGAGGTACCTGCAACATTAACAATGAAAGCTCTATCTGCTTGTTGCCTAGGGTCTACAAACCCTTCACACGAGTAATTCCAACAGAAGTGGAAAAGAACTAGACGAAGGACAACCAGCGAGCAAGATGGGTTCCGGAAAAGATTTAGCACTATGGAGATCATTATACACGTATCGAGGCTCATCGAAGTATCGCAAGAATACAAGATGAAGCTCTGTCTCACCTCCCTCGACTCGAAGAATTTGATTCGGCTGAAACTGAGGCTGTCGTTGATGGTTCAAGCAATCAAAGTATTCCAGTTCAGTACATCAAGATGAGTCGCGACCTGTATAACGACTTCACAACAGACAACACAATTCTGCAAGCACATCACATCGACTGACGAGAGGAGTACGACATGGTGATACTATATCGGCGAACTTTGCAGCGTTGCTCTTCGAAACGTTATGAGTATATCGAAGCTGATGATATAGTCCTAATTGCACTGCACATTACGCAAGCGAAAGGTATCCCTACTTTCACGCGTATGAGGCGCACCTTTTCGAATATTCAAGCGAGCTGCCCAGTCGCTTCACTGTATTCCGAAAAGAAATCATTACATCGCACGATTCTCTCAAGCAATATAGAGCACGTTATAGGGTTCCTTGGTTGTAAAGTCCTTTGGCTTGTCTAAGCTGGTCGATTTTGGAAAAAAAAATCCTCCGCGCCTTCTACGCGTGAAATTAGAGTTTTTAAAATACGAATTCCGCACATCACAGTCATGCTTTTTTGGTAAGTTATTTTAGGGAGAACGTAAAAACTTCCCTTACAATGTTTTCCAAAAATGTGATTGCACCGATAAGAAAGCCCAAAAAAATTGTAAAAAGTTGTGTAATAATCAGCATACGTGAGAAACCTAATACGGACTTTTCCAAATTTCCCTGAAATTCATCTAAGTTCTTGATTCACATCCCCGTACGCTAAAAGTTCATACATCGCAGATTTGGTCCGTACTGGTGGTCTAGGTTGAGCCAATCCTATCGTACTGGTACATGAAGATTGACGAAAATTGAAACTGTGTAGATATTTTTTGCGACACCCTGTACAATGAACGTTTGTGTGCCTAGTTACATATCGTCCAAGTACCTCTTCAAGTTAGACTTTTTTCGAAGGCAAAATACACACAGACAAGTTCCACCTCGGACTGCGAGCGGGGGACCAAACGTTATTCTTCACAATGTCATCGTCGCCGTGCATCACTGCTAGCATCTGCTTATAAGTTCACTTTCGAATAATTTTTTTTTCTGCAAATTTGAGGAAAACCATCCTCAGAATCTCATTTTTCCATGTGTATCAAGTTTCTTTAGTGCTATTTTCTTCAAGCCACTCACTCTTGATTTTTAAATTCAAAATTTTCCAGTTTCCATAAAATAAATTCCATGATTTCCAATATTTTCCAGCTTTATTGAAGGGGATACCATTGAATGTCACATCATGCACAGGCTAGGTCTCGAATTTGCTAACCAAAAGTAAATTTATTCAGAGCTGGAGTACAATACGCGTTTTTTGACAGGCCGAAAATGGGGACAGAGTTTAAGGAAATGCAGTGGAGTGGTGGAGTCTAGTACCAGCAAACATTTTAATCGGTCTTTTGGATGAATGTAGAGTGATACGTTTTAGCGTAATTATCTAACATGTGTCATAAGTTTCTTTTCACTGATGCAGCAACATCCATCTTGAAGTCAAGCAATCACCTCACGTTTCTCATACAAGTGGATATCTCAAACGCTTCGTCACCGCTAATAGCATATGTCTAGCAGCTAACATGCGAAGCGACTTCATATTGCAATTCCTTCGCAAACTAACCTCTCTTTCCCTATCCGGTCTGCTATAGAACTTAGAATTAGAACTCTTATCGGGATGGAACTTGTTTCTCCACTCGGCTTTGAAGTAGACAGCATTTACAAGCACAGAAAAAGCGCCTGTTTAGAAATGTAATTGGCAAGAATTTTTCGAAAGCCCTTATTTGAGAAGGTATAAACCACAAACCTTCGATGTTATCCGCATTGATGATATTTTCTAGTTTCTCAGCTGTAGCATTGCTGACAAATGTGTTGATCACCTGAATCCTAATTTTTGAATTCTAATGTGAAGTTGCATCAATTTCTCTAAAACTTTTGATAAGCCGGCATACTCAAATTGTTATCGGGGACTGTATCTTGTCTGTGTTTTACAATGAAAACATGGAGGATTTACCTCGGCTGAATCAGTAGCGTTATTTTCTAAGTCCAACGATTCTATTGCTGCTGAGTAGCTTTTCACGATATTGCTCCTGTACTGTTCTTCGATATCAAATTTTTTGCTGAAAGGGATCAAGAATTTACTTTGCTCTATCAAGGTTGGAAGCTTACAAGGAACAATATTACTTTATGGACCATTTGAAGTGAGACGTATATTGCTTAGCGGAGTATCAAATGATAATCTCAAATTTGGCACCATTATCTGCCGGTAACTTTTTCATCAAAAAACCGCAGGCTCAAGAACAAAACGCAAAAGCGTTATATGCGCAAGAAAAATCCGATGCTCTACGCAGTAGGCGGAAACCCTGTGTTTCGGTACCTTTCCGTTCTAGAGATTGCTGAAGTGCTCATGTAAGAAATGGTTTCTTAACAATGTTCATAGATAAGCTGTGAAGTTTTAGGATTAGCATTCGCACTGACTCACGACATACATATCACGTTGAGTGGATGCTTGGAAAACGGGCAAAAACTAGCAACTTTCCGTTTCAATCTATCTTGGGAGTTGAGCATCCATTTTTACATGATGTTGATTAGATGTGAGATACAAATGCATGCTTTGACCTGGCAAATATCTTTGTATGTAGGGGTTACGGAGTACGGCAAGCTTACATACGAAGGAACAAAGATTACAGTAGTTACAGATCCTGCTAAAACTGTTTAAAAGATTTTCTGACGCGTCGATCGATATGTACATCACAGTCCATAGTTTTTCTCAGAATGCTAAGGCACAAGTCCCACCTTGAATAAAAAAGGATAATCCAAAATTCGAGATTTCGCTCATGTCAGTTATGGATGTTCGCATCAGTTTTGCACCAGGTCACTTAGTCTCCCTAACAGTTGAGTGGAGTGTAAGGAAATTCTCGTGGTCCATAAGCACCTTGTTATTTATTAAAGAGCAATTGGGTTATTCAAAGCAATGAGTAATCCACTATCTACTGCTACCAATGAAATATTTGAAGCAAACTTTTGCTTGCCTTTCTTACTCATAACTATTTGAGTCTCAGCAAATAACCCTTAATTTAAGTCAATCAAATAGACTACGAAATTCTCTCATTCAACTTTTGACTTGTTGACAAATGTGACTCACTCTAAAAAGAAACCATTTGCGATATAAGCTTTGACGTCATTAGTTGCCTCATGTATATGACCAGATAAACTCGCATAATAGTCTGACACCTCTTCGTCGTTACCATCTGAAAGAAAAAAAATGTCAGGTTGGAAACAAGTTTTGCAGCTTTTTCAATAACTTTTTTATCTTACAATATGACACGTTCAAATTTTGGCATTATATAGGTTATGACGTTAGAGATTGTGTTCTGCCAAAGTCTGCAGTGAGGGTTACGGTAGGCAGATGGTATAAGGAGTAAAGGAAAATCTTACCATGTACTCAGATAATCGCCGGGGGCAGGCGGTCCGCAAACTCGCGCTTTTCTGCAGGCGGTCAGCAGAATTTTGGGGCGTGGCCAAACCTTCAGCGGGCAGCAATACAGAATTTTCTGCGAGCGCTAGTCAAATAATATCTTCCAGCGAGCGCTGGCCAAACTTTCAGCAAGCGCTCGGACTCTTGATAGGTATTTTCGGGCGTACGTCGAGCGCAGGTAAGACTCTGTGTGGCAGAGGTGTCACCGTTGGTTTAATTACTCAAGTTTGAGGTACTTTCTCTCAGCGGAAAGTACCTGGGGGTTGCGCGGTCCTCCACAAAGAACGTGCGGCCCTCGAAATTTTTGCATATTCTCGCGGAAAGTCCGCGAGAATGCGGCCACTGCGCCGCAACTAATCTATAGAAAAACCACGATATTTCTCCGAGCATTCCTCTAAAAATTGGCCAGCATTCTTTTAAATTTCTGAAGCGGACCGCATGAAATCAGCGAACTATTTTTCCGGCGCCCGCTTGCTCAAAATTCGCATGGCCGCCTGCCCCCGGCGATTATCTGAGTAGATGGCTGAAACTTGGCATATCGGGGGGGGGGGGAGGAGGGGATATTCGACATGCTAATTACAAACGATACTGAATTTGCACGTAGGGTTTCTTGTGAGATTACTGTAGGTTTACGGTACAACGACATGAGTATGTCTGGATAATCAACGACTGAATATGTTATTTGTATTCTTTAGATCAACTGACCCCACTATGCGAAGTTTCACTAAATTTTAAGTTCCGACTCTTTAGTCCTTGACAGTCCCCCAATAGCCTTGCATATAGAGAATCGTTCAACTTTGTGGGAATGCCGGAACCGATTTGTCTTCAAATTCTATTTCTTTTGTTCTGCGTGAAATGAGTCAACCATCAGAATCTAGCATCAATTCATCCACAATTCTGGATCATAGTGAATGGTCTAAGTTGCGAACCGTCTTATTTTTGTTTACCTTCTTATATCCTCTAAATTCACTAGTTTTCGAAATGCCGGAAACTTTTTTGTTTCGTCTTCAAAAATGAGACAGCTTGTGCACACTTTAGCGCTCCTCACAATCTCCATATTCCCAAGTTTTAAGCGGGCCATGTTATAAGAGGGTAAAGTTTCAGAAAAAGTTCAAAACTTGTTAGGTTCATCAAAACTTCCGATTTGATGAAATAGCCTTTATATGAAGCCGAATGTCATTAGTCTATGTCTGTGTGAATGTGGCATCACCCGCACCAAACTTTGTACATAAACTTTGGACTGCTCAGATAATTGCCGAGGGCAGGCGGCCATGCGATTTATGGGCGGCGGGCACCGGAAAGATAGTTCGCTGATTTCCTGCGTTCCGCTTGCAGATGTTTGCAAGAATTTTAGCGAAATTTTAAACGAATGCTTGGAGAACAATCGCGGTTTCCTTATAGATTAGCTGCGGCGCAGTGGCCGCATTCTCGAGGACCTTCCGCGAGAATAGGAAAATTTTTGAGAGCCACGGTCCTTTGTGGAGGACCGCGCAGCCCCCAGGTACTTTCCGCTGAGAGAAGGTACCTCAAACTTGAGTAATTAAATCAGTGACACCTCTGCCACACAGAGTCTTACCTGTGCTCGACGTAAGCCCGAAACTGCGGAAAAAGGGTCCGAGCGCATGCTGAAAGTTCGGCCAGCGTTTGCTGAAAGGGATTATTTGACGAGCGCCTGCAGAATATTCTGTTGCTGCCCGCTGGCAAAATATGCGACCGCTCAGATAATCGCCGGGGGCAGGCGGTCCGCAAACTCGCGCTTTTCTGCAGGCGGTCAGCAGAATTTTGAGGCGTGGCCAAACCTTCAACGGGCGGTACTTTCGTCTTCTGCCAGCGGGCAGCAATACAAAATTTCCTGCAAGCGCTCCGCAAATAATTTCTTTGAGCGAGCGCTGGCCAAATTTTCAGCAAGCGCTCGGACTCTTTTTAGGCATTTTCGGGCGTACGTCGAGCGCAGGTAAGACTCTGTGTGGCAGAGGTGTCACCGTTGGTTTAGTTACTCAAGTTTGAGGTACTTTCTCTCAGCGGAAAGTACCTGAGGGTTGAGCGGTCCTCCACAAAGGACCGTGCGGCCCTCGAAATTTTTGCATATTCTCGCGGAAAGTCCGCGAGAATGCGGCCACTGCGCCGCAGCTAATCCATAAAGAAACCGCGATTGTTCTTCAAGCTTTCGTCTTTAATTTCGCCAACTTTCTTCCAAATTTCTGCAAGCGGGCCGCAAAAAATCAACGAACTATTTTTCCGGTGCCCGCCTGCCCATAAATCGCATCGCCGCTTGCCCCCGGCGATTATCTGAGCGTTAAGGAAGTGCCGCCAGCTGAAGGTTTGACCACGCTCCAAAATTCTGTTGACCGCTTGCAGAAAAGTGCAAGTTAGAGGACCGCCTGCCCCCGGCGATTCTCTGTGTGGGTGTCGCCTTCTATATTTTTTCTCTTGATAATTTCATCGAGTTTTTGCAAACTCATCTACGCAAGATGTGAACCCTTTCTCTTTCTCCAAAACTAATGACTGTCCTTTTCGAATGTATCAATTTTCAAGGTTGATGGGACACTGGGAACTGGTACAGGAAAAATACTCATTGCATTTGTCGATTTGGCCAACTTGAAAACTTGCTGCGAAATTGGGAGGCGGTACATAGAATTTAGCTGGGTTTAGGTCAAAGCATTTCGTAAAGCAGCGGATCCGTTTTTAGGCCGGACTTTCAGCTCAACCTGGCCCAAGCCTTTGCTGTAAGTCAAGCATAGCGCTGGCATTTTGCCACTCAAAGAAGAAAACAAGCGAACGCAGGCATAGGTTCTTAGCCCGATATATCTTACTGTGGTTTCGATTGAGTGTGAACTGTTGCCAGGCGAACGCCCACCAGTCGCCCACCTTCCCAATCTGGCCTAAGAATTGGGTTTACCACGGTCGACAACAGGAACCGAGCAATCTAAGCTAATAACTCAAATAAAGATAGGTTAAGCCGGTAATGATTACAGCATGATACAACAAGTTAAAAAAACGCAGCCTCTATATTAAGGATCTGTTCTGCTTGTGTTTAGTGAAGTATGGTGAAAGGTGATTGGGAACATCAAATTAATGCGAGACCAAAACCTTTTCTGTGCGCAAGTCCAATCTGCCTCAGAGTTTACGGAAGGTTCAAAATCAATATCTTGTAGGTCGCATGTGCATGAACATTCCTACCGAGGAGGGCAGAATCTTTATACGAAAGGTTGAACACGGTTTATACAATAAAGCACTCTTGTGCCATATGTTTATAGTAAAGGATGATAGAACTAGAAATCAGTCCCCAAAACATTCAAATACAAAGCTTTTCAAGGCTGCTCTCATCTCCGCCGGGATATTCCGCATACATTTCTAAGTCACAGAATTGCAGAAAATGTCTGACGAGGGAGGATCCTTAGTCGAAGTTGCCTTTTCTTTTAGATGCGCACAGTTTTAAAGGCATCGAACGTTGATTTCGAATCCGTTTTCATTATCTGCGGAGCCCCATTGAGTAAGAAATTATGAGCGATTTATGAGTTGAAAACTGAATCCATTTAGCTTACAGAAGTCTTTCATATATTACTTTCTCCTGAATACGCAATCAAATTTTCGCTGCAATTTCAACTTCTTGTGCAGACGCGCTCCGCATATAAGGAAGACAGATTTGGTATCAGCGTTCGATGTTCTTTGAAAAGGTATGCTTACCTTCTATTAGGTTGTAAAGAAAATTCCCGGGCACTTTTGGAAATTTTATTTTCAAAAGCCTTTTTTCGGCGCTCGGTCGGAGTCTGACACCAAGTTTTTTATACTGTTCAGCAGAGGTAAGCATGAAGTTTTCAATACCGTTTCTGGTTTCTATCGAGGCTAGGACGTGTTTAACCTGCACATCAAAAAAGGAAATCTTTCCAATCATGAAAATTTCGCAATTTTTCCCTGCGCCCATTTTTCTGTGCAGTTCAAAGAATTTCGTAAAAATCATGAGTGATCTGATTGGGGAACCTGTCAACTTCTGACCCGCAACTGCACTCGAGTTTTGCGATTTGTGCTCAGAAATTACAAGCTGTCACTTGCCTCTGACTGCAACTCTTTTCGCAGGTGGCATCGCTTCCGCAGGGATCGCCACGCCTGGACGATGGGTCCAAAAGATGTGTAAGGCATTACCCCAGCGATATTCACCGTAATCAAAGGTTTGATCCTTTCTGTGCAGAACTAGAAGACTCCAAAGCCACTTAGTCGAAAAATGGTGCATTTTTAGGAGCAAAAAATGGTCGATTTTTCAAACATTCTGAGAAAAATTTCTGTGCAGGTGGTACTTCAAAAACATGAATGGTTTCCGTAACAGCCCCAGCGGAACTCTATATAGCTACAGCATCTGGACTCTCCAGCTGTTATCCTGCCTGAGATAATCCTGCACAAATAGGCCACTTTTCGCAACGAACTTTTTCCCTTCTGCGCATGCTGGTGGACCGCAGTGAGGTGCTGAGAAGCCAGCAAGACAAATATATGTTATGGACAAAATTGTCTTTGCAATGAAGTTTGTAGCTGCAAGAAAGAATCAATCTGCTTGAAGTTACAGCGATTTGAAAAAATTTTTCGGAAGTGCCAAGGAACTTTCTTTACAACCTAAAAATAGGCCACTTCGTCCAATGATTCTTCCCTATTGAGTCAATAAGCCAGTAATTTCCTAAGTGAGCCAACCACCCCCCCCCCCCCAGGCATCTTTTGTTTAAGTGATGTGGCTAACTGACTGCAAAAGTCCACTTATTTTACAATGGTTGATGTATGCGAATTCTCACCTCCCGATAATAACTTGTTGATCTGTGTTCTTGTTTCTCCCTTCGCTCCAAGTTGTACCATTGCCAGTGCAAACAGTACGGAAACAGGAGACACAACCAGCAACTCGGTGGCAGGCACTTGCCGCAACAAATTCAATCCAAAGTCCGTCTCTGCTGTTAAGAACGTGCTAAAATTTCTGGGTGTTATTGTTTTTCTTTGTTGAAAGAATCAAATGTTTTAAATGATCTAATATGATTCTCTGGGTTTCTGAGTCTTATAGATTGACTTTGCGGAAAAATATCTGTAATAAATTGTTAGGATATTACAAAAACAATCACATCATTTTTCGAAACTCAGAAAGTTCTTATGTAGATTACAGTCCTAACCCAAGCCGCTCAAAAAACGCACAATTCTTTACTTTACTTTTGCGAGCTTGCTATAAGAACGTTTCCATAAATCATGTACTAGCGTGCAATACATGCCATATTGGTAAGGAAGGCCACCAAGATTGCGAAGGTTTTGAAAAAGCATCGAGGTCCAAGTGCAAAAATTCCAGCTTTTCAAACTTGAATCTTTAACAAATATCGTTCTTATAGTCTCTCTTCCAGCAGAGAAAAAGCGAAGCAGCATGTAGCTATCAAGTTTCCTCCCTTCTTAACCTCGGCATTGTTAGTATGTTGTGAGTAGATTAGTAAGCCAATCGAGGCTAGTATTTATTGGTAAGTGGTGGACTAACGTTTCGAGCTATTCTTCTTCTTTAGAGGCCTAAAGTGGTAAGAGATTTATGATTTTATGTCTACCCCACCAAGAACTTCCTTCATCCTAGGCTATACTCGATGTTGCCTAAGAATGCTACAACAAAAATTCATAACGTGAAAGAAGATTAACCTCCTACACTGCCGGCGCGCTGATATTGAAAGCGGCCGTCTTTCAGGGCCACTGATACTAATATTGGTTACAAGTTTTGGCAAATGTTACCACACAGCAAAACCTGAGCATTTTCGCACGGCGTTATTTCCAAAAGCGCATAACTCAAACTTCGTTTAGAGGCAGCGTCCACCTAAAAGCTATTCACCTTAGACTACTACCTATTCTATTAGCAGGCCCTTAGGGCTGGGCCAGACTGCGCGGCGTACGCTCCTATGATGACAGAACGTCAGCCCGTACGCCGCGCACTCTAACCCTGAAAGTAGACCAACAGCGATACGGTCCCGCAGTGTTGCCTACAAAAGGAGAGAACCTGGATCCTCTTTGTGCTTCACCCACCCACGGATTGCTCTGTGACGTGTTCTGACATGACAAGCAACGTTGAGACGCATAGCTTATGATGTGATACTGTTGCGCACGCGACGCCTAGTCAAACGTGACTAGCGCTCGTCCAGGTTTGCCAAAATAGGGGATCAGAAAGGGGCAACTTCGGGGCTTTTTGGTGATTTGAACCTCATATCCAAGATCACCGCCATGAAAAGGCTCGATAACAATAAAAACATGGAATACAAAATTTAGGGTGGACGCTGCGTCCAAGTAATTCTCTGATCAGCACCGTCGCTTTAACACAAGTAAGGCCACAAAGGTGTCTGTGCCACAATGAGTGAGAGTGTCACCTAATCCAATTGAAAGTGTATTCAATGCTTTGCAACAGAAGATTTAGCATTGAGTATTGAGAGACATGATTTCTTATTAAGGTAATGGGATAAGCTCACCTTCAAAGGCTGAGATGTAATAGAGCTTCTCGCTCTATCCATGTATATGAAATTCACCTCAAGTTTTTCGTGCTTGAAAGTTTTGGGACAAAATCTGATTTTTTGATAGAAAATTTGAGTCAAACATCGCACTTATTTGAATAAACTGCCCTGATAGAATAACACCGAAAGTCAGCTCATATAAGAGCGTTACTGCTGGTTGTTTACCGTTAATCAAAAAGCAAGTCTCTATATCTGTGAAAAATCAAAATGATTTTGGCTCACCATGATAATATTACAGAAATATACAGCAGAACGAGTCAGACTTACTTGTTGGAGTTTGATGTAGTCAGCATTGCAAGTGAGCGCGAAACCTCCAACTGCGTCCTTTACTTGAAACCTAAATACATTAAGGATGAACGCGTGTCAAGTTTTGAAGAGCACTGCATTACAGACATCGAAGTAGGAACGTATGCTGCATCAGTAACGTTTATCTGAGTTTTTTACTTCCTTTAGATACGATCATAGCCCTGATAATTGGGATACTCCCAATGTTGATTTGTACCCACAACAACGTGTTTGAAATCACAACTTTACGGAAAAAGTACTTCAGCATGCAGGTGCACATGTAAGTCAGAGCTTTAAAATACTTGCGCGAATCTTGATAGTTTTAACCATGTTCACATGTATCACTCAGTGATTCATGCTAAATTCGATTTTTCAGTATTGTTATTTTGCTTGATCTTCTTTAATTTTGGATCAACGAGTTAATTCTCAATATTAATAAAATTTTCTTACTTAATTATAAATTAAAGAGTATTTTTAACGCAAAGAAGATAAAAGATATTAAGAGTTGTAAATGGCGTCTCCGATATGCAACTAGCGTGTTTCAAACATTGAAGTTTTCAAAACTAAACTGAAGTATCAAGTATTGCAGGAGTATTTGAAAGGAGAGTGCTTTGGTATGTGTTTTGCAACCTTGGTCATGGAGCGCTCTAAAACGTTTGCAATTGTAACCTTGGTCATCGCGCGTTTTGGAGTCTTTTGCAGTAAAGAACGATAATGAGAACACTCGATCTGAGAAGAAAATTCCTCGATCATCGTGCGTTTTGGAGTCTTTTGCATGGACGAGAATGAGAACGCTCGTTCTGAGAAGAAACTTTCTCTAGAAAACTTGTTTTATAGATGCTAAGGACTGCACAAATAGAAGATCCTTTTATGTTTATGAAGATACACCTTCTAAGAACACCATTAGAATGCAAAACTTTCACAAATGTAGGTAAAAGGTGTGTCATTTTCTGTGAAAATCAGATAGAAGCAAAACTAGGTTTAGGTGCTGCGCAATCTTTAGCATAATTGATAAAGATCCCTACAAGTTTTGATGTGTTTTCACACGACAATAAGAAGTCTAAATTCAAGATTTTTTAAAAACAAGTAAAAAGCTTCAAAAAGTTGCGGCTAAACTTCCAAAGGAAGAGTTGATCTCACTTGGGAGAGTGAATCAAGATCCAGCTCTCAAAAGATTTCTTGTGGATCAGGATGCAATGTAATCGTGATTAACTCTAAGTTCAGTCCTGTACGCTCAAGGATTACACCGAAATGGGCACCTTTGCAGCAGGAGTTCAAGATATATTACTAAGAGTTGCAGTTTACAAAAGAGTTTCTACAGTCATTTTTTTCTGGCAAAAGAAACATCAAACAAGTCTCTAATGAATACAAATTTTCAATTTTAAATGACAACAAAATGTCAAGGAGTTAGATTTGTAGATCGGCAAATTTTGAGTACCTAATGTCGTACTCCACTGAAAAAAAGGATTTCGGACAAAGTAGCAAAGGTTTCAGTAATGCTTGCTTCAGAGAATTCTGAAGCGCGAAAACAACACATATAATGAGAAATTGATATTGTGGATGGGAATGGACTTCTATACTTAACATTAACCAAATTAAAGGATGATACTGAATGTGCGTGCAGCGAAAGACTAGGCGTGTGCCCAAAAAAGAGTGCTCTTATGAATCACGAGCGTGACGATAATCGCTAAAGCAGCAAAGAATAACAGCGTAAAACAACCGCGCCTTCAATCTTTGTTGATTTATTCTACGCGCTCGCCAACTCAACGCTTACTACGTACGTACCTACGTACTAGCCAGCTTTCGAACTGAGGGAGCGTCAGATCCTCGACTCAGCATTTCGAAATTGGAAATCCTGAAAGATCGAGACTTTGAGGCTGCCCGCTCAAGAGCCGTGTGGCTATAGATGTTAAGCTATGTGATGGAGTGGCAGTAGATGTTGGAAGCCTGTCCTCAGCTTTGCCAAATCGGTATACAGAAACTGAACAACCAGCACTGCATTGCAGCTGCACTACGAGTGAGTTAGACAGTTAAAGTCAACAGTGCCCTTTTGATGGTTATAGAAGATTTCGTGTCGAGATCCACATAGTGGTTTATAGTAGAACAGCTGCTGTTATGGTGATGCCTTCATCTTCGCGGTATTAGACTCCAAAGGGCCTGATTTTACGGGTTATTAACTGATTGCGAGACAGCATCGTAACAATGACCTAAAAGCACTAGTTCCATGACTAGCCTTCGATGTGCATCCAAAGGTGTGGACTTTTGGGATTTTTAAGGCCGTTAACGTTTCTCAGTTCTTGTGCAAAGGGCCTGCCGGTCTCTCCTATGTACTGGTCACCGCATTTTTGACAGGATGTGAGATGAACTACTCTTAACTCGAAGCAGTCCCCTTCTTTCAAAACGGGCAGGGTACAGTCGGCGGTCTTGCAGATTCTGCTATTTTGAGATTAGAAGGTGGAAAGTCTATAACTCTAACGGAATCTTCGAAACCTGCTTGAAACAAAGATTTTCTAATAGTTCTGCTAAGAACACCCAATACGAATGAAATACAGATCGTTATTTTTGTTGTCTAATTCATTTGAGATTGGTCTACTTTCCTGCTTAAGGTAGGTTTGATGCACCATTTGCAGGAAGCCGTTGGAATACGTGCTCGCAATTGCAAAACAACTCTGAAAGGAGAAGAGGGCTGCCGGCACTTTTCCGCACGAGACCCAGCGCGCCTCGAAGCGGCAAGTGTGCTGGCTGCCGTACGTGCTTATGGATCAGATTTTCTGTTGGACAACATTTCTCAACTTTTGAACACACTCCTAAAATGTTGTATTGGTGACACAACGTCTACCTCTTCACTGATGGTGTGCTTAAACGCCAAGAAGCACATCATGATATCTTTCTTCGAAAGGAACATGTCAACTACAGTGAAACTATGCGAGCAAACACAAGGAATTTGTGGAAATGAAAAACGTAAGTGAAATGAGCCAGGCAGTGGATTGGCAAAATCCAACAACTCAGGATTTCAACGCGGTAGGTTCCCTATCGCCCAAGCATGAAAATAGTGCAGTCCCGGTTGCACAGCATCCCTTCCCTGCGGAGAAAATTGCTCTCAAACTCACACGCGCAGGCCAATCTCACACGCGTCCGGACGAGTTCGCAATTTCTTTCCCACCTTTGGAGGCTGCCCGCCGCAATACTATAACCGTTGGATCCTGCAACGATTTAGCGTCATCAGCCTTGCTCCACTTGTCCAATTCTAAAGGAAAGGGCATTTAAAACGCTCATTTTCGCCGTTTTCAAGCTTTCAAAAGTGGATTTTCGGGATCAGCGTATTGAATAACCCCAGGTAAGTGCCAATTTGACTAGGTTGGGATTTGCCGAGCCATTGCCTTTAGAAGCAGATTGGGTGCAAATTTTTAGGACCTTTTAAAACTCACAACTGGTCAAAATTTAAAATGTTCTTCCCATGTTGGCGTGCTTATCAATAGATTTTGGATCTTACAACGTCACGCGCGCACCGTATAGGACGGAGTAAAAGGTTCTATAACCTTTTACTCCGTCCTATACGGTGCGGTATTACGCGAAGCCTCCTACAATAACCTGGACCTTGATATGAGGAAGAATTTGACGATAGATGAATGCGAAGTGGATCCGACAAGGAGTGGTCAAATGTGTGATTGAAATCTTACTACAGGTCAAGAACGCCTTAGCTAGACTTTCCTAACTGTAAACTGTTTTTATTTATTTATTTATTTATTTATTTCAATACACTCATGGTGTGCCTAAATGAGAAAAAGAAGAAATAGACAAAGCAGCTATGAACAAAACGAGAATCCAACCAGTCTCAATCGCAGGAGTTAAAAAAATAGAGAAATAGAAGAACAGGATGAAAGAACCCATTTCCCAGGCCTACCAAGACGTTCAATCACTTAAAAAAGTCAAGCTGCGAACGACCTCTATAGACTGTATAGGATCCAAATCTTGCTCGCTCTAAAATTATTGTGGCCCATTCCGTCATTTGAATGTCAGCGAGCCTGCGGGTAAAGCTAGCTGACTGGCCCCCAGTAAAGATCTATTTTAGAGGGGAGCAAGATCTATTGAACATCTAGATAAGCTTTTCAAGTAGAAGTGGCAGGGCATGGGGCTAAGTAGCTGCAATACAAGCCATCAGAAAACCCCTTGTTGATAAGACTGGTTGGTTCACGGTCAGCAAATATAAACATGGTCAAAACAACTACTACAGAGATGAATGGTACCATAGATGTACACTCATTCTAATAAGAGGCAAAAAAATTGAGGATAAATGGCAGAAAAGATAAGCTTCGTAGTCCGTAAACTTAGTTTGAAAGACGGTATAAAATTTTGTAGTAACACAAAGCTCGAAATCACTCCAGAACTAGCACGACGACCTGAAAAAAAATCGAGATAAACAGAACACTAAAACAAAAATGAAGAAAGACTAAGATAAAGCAACTTGCGAATATCGAGATTACTTGTCCACCTTCATGACCTGAATCAAACTGGGTGAAAATCAACAAAGATAAGAATTACAATTCAGAACCTCAGAGATTTTCATCTTTTGAAGACCCTTTTTGAATACCCACCCATTTTTTGATGACAAAAGTTCAGTTGGTAATCGATTTAACCAACGGGCACATCGATAAAACAACGAATTAAAAAGACCGGAGTAGAATTTTTTGTTCAATCTGGGATAGTGGAGATTGAATCCTCCTAGCCTACAGCTTACTGGTCTAAAGACCCAGAAGCTGCTAGCTCTCAGATCAATTTCCTTCCTTAGTATCCGAAAACAAAAAACCAGATCAGATATGATTCTTCTGTTCAAAAGAGGCTTTAAACCCATCATCTTAAGACGTCTATCATATGCAGGAATATCTTTTCTTGAAATAGTTTGGAGTTTACGAAAAAGAGTCATACGCGTGAAGATGCGTTGGACTTTTTCGAGCTTCAGTATTTCCTTTCTACAAGATGGGTTCCACACCTGAGAGCAATATTCCAGGTGTGGGATAACATATGCCTTATATAATTTAGTAAGTAAAAGCT